CTAGAGGTACAAAGGATGATCGAGATGACAGAGCGTTTTAGTGAAAGTTATTTGGGGTTTGTGCTGGAAAATTTTAAAACCCCTTACGTGTGGTGGCCCCAATTTGGAAAAACCCGGTCGACTGCATCTGGAGAGAAACTGTAATAAGTTGACAGTCAGCGCCTGCACAGGCAAAAGCAAAGTCATCAACATAGAGTGATGACCAATATGTGATGGAAAGACTAGAGGCCAAATCATTAATAGCAAGGAGAAAAAGTGTTGTGCTCAGAACACATCCCTGGGGACACCTTCAGCTTGGATAAAGTCCGGGGAGAGCACATTATTGACCCGAACACGGAAATGCCTGTCAGTTAAAAAGTTCTTAAGGAAGGAGGGTTTAGATTGCCTCGAAGGCCTAAGGAGTGGGCTTGGGCTAAAATATTATCCCTCCAAGCTGTGTCATATGCCTTCTCAAGGTCAAAAAATATGGCAATAACTGAGTGGTTATTCGCAAAGGCATTACGAACATACGTATCCAAGCGTAGTAAGGGGTCTAGGGTAGAACGTCCCTTACGAAAGCCATATTGATGAGTGGAGAGACTGTTGTGTGTCCTAAATACCACACTAAACGTCTATTTACTAGGCGTTCCATCACTTTGCAAACTGCACTGGTAAGAGCAATGGGACGATATGGGGAGGTTTCATGTCCCGTAGTGCCTGGTTTGCGGAAAGGGAGAACAATGGCGGATTTCCACAGCTGTGGAAGAAACTCCTTGTGACCAAATAAGATTGTAAAGGCGTAATAGGACTGCAAGGGCTGACTGATGTAAATGTTGTAGCATACGAATATGAATGTCGTCGGGCCCAGCTGCTGATGATCGGCAAGCTGAGAGTGTTGCCTCCAGTTCTTGAAGTGTAAAAGGCACATTATACTGTTCTTCTCTGAGAGAAGAAAAGTCCAAGGGTGCTAACTCTCTGGCAGACTTTGAGGAAAGAAATGAGGGGCATAGATGGAGTCCCTGAGAAATACGGACCAGATGATTGCCAATTTCATTGGCAACATCTAGTGGGTTTGTTATATCAACACCGGCAACCCTCAGAACAGTTTTCATACTTTTTTCCAGACTGCACTCATAGAGGAAGCAGAGGTGATGGTGGAGACATAATCTCGCCAGCAAGTGCATTTAGCGTCACGGATGACACGGCGAGCGATCGCACGCTTCTGCTTAAATTCAAGAAGTCTCTCTGTGGTTCTATTGTACCGGTACCTGCCCCATGCAGCGCGTTTCAAACGTACTGCACGAGCACAAGCAGGAGACCACCAAGGCACGCATTTCTGAGAATGCCTGCCCGAAGTTTGGGGTATAGAATGAGAAGCTGCGAAAACGGAGGACGAGAAGAGGTGTAAAAGCTCATCGATGGAGGATGAAGAAGGAACCTCTCTAAAAACAGTTAGGTGTGAGTAAAGGTTCCAATTTTCCTGATCAAATTGCCAGCGTGGGATGCGAAGAGGTGGTGAATATGAAGGGAAGAAGAATGATTGGGGAAAAGATCGCTGTCATGTAAGTCCGGAAGAACAGACCAAGTGAAGTCTAATGCGGCGGAGGAAGAGCAGACTGAGAGATCGATGCAAGAGAGAGTGGGGAGTCCGAGGATCAAAATGGGGGTGAGTACCTGTATTTAAAACATGGAGGGGGGGGTGGCAAGAAAAGCCTCTAACTGAATGTCACGGGGAATCACAGTGAGACCCCCCCAGAGGAAATGTGGGCATTAAAATCACCAAGTAACAGAATCGGGGTGGTAAGACGAAACAAAAAGGAAATACCCGGAATAGATAACCCCGAAAGGAGAGAGATATAAAGAACAGAGCGTATACCACCTATGCAATGGTACGGGCTTCTGGTAATGCACAAAGTACAAAAATAGCTGAGGGTACGAATATCAGTGCGTAGAAGAAGGGCATTTTCATTAAAGGCCCCCCTCAAAAAGGATCTGAAGAATACAAAAAATTATACCCTGAGATGGGAGAGATAACAGCAGTGTGTAATTTTGGTTTCCCTGAAAGCAAACACCACAGGGGAAAACGGGGAGAGAAACATCTGAAGCTACCCCCGATTTACCCCTGAGGCCGCGTATATTCCACTGTAATGGGCCCTGATTGGCAATGAAAAGATACCTAAAAATCCGAGGAAAGGGGTTTCCTACGGACTAGAGGGGTTAGAAAGTCCACATGCGGGGGCAGTGGAAAATTTAACAGCGAAAAAACGGTGCGGTGAAGAAAGGAGTTGCGCGATGGGTAGGGAGAGGAAGGAGCGGGGGGGTGGATCGTGCCCATTGATGGTTTGGTCTCTGCAATATATTCAAGATTGCTTCAAGTTTTTCGAATTCGGACGTTTTTAGGGGAGACAATATTGGAAATGGTAGGGGGGAGGATGGGGTAAAGATTGGAACTGTAATGGACTTCCAAGGTATGGGGGGAGGGAAGGGTGGAGGGAACTGGAAAAGGTGGAAGGGGACAGAAGAGGCAAAAAACCTGGGAGGGGGCCCAAAAAAAGAGGAAAAAAATTGGGAGGGAACAGGGGGGGAAAGGGTACAGTACGAGGAGGAGGGTAAACCCTCTCATTGTAACAGACCCGTGAGAGGGGGGGAGAACCAGGTAAGAGACGGGGAAAGGGGGAAAATGAGGAGGTGGAAGAGGGGTAGGTTTTAACGGATTTTTTTTGCTTTTAGAAGAGAGGACGATTGGGAGGAGGTGTCTAGGGAATCTCGCGCTACTGAGGCTTGTGAGAGAGAACACGAAAAACAAGACAGCTGAGACGTTAAAAGTAGGGACGTCTGACCCGAGGACGCAAAAGAATTATACAGGAGTGACTATGGGGAGGTAACCCAGAGGTGGGTGCAAAAGTGGGATCCAGAAGGGGGGGGGGACGTTTTAAAACACGGGAATAAAAAACCACGAGGTAGCCCCCCTTGGGGGCGGAGATGAGAAACTGCCATTGCAAAGGGGGGCCCCTTTCCTCTTGAGGAAAGGGATTTCCCGTCGTTTAATAGACTTTACAACGGCGGGGAGTACGAAGGGTGAGCCCAATGACAATTAAGGGAAGAGGGAGGTCGATTGCAAGACGTATAGAAGGTTCCCCGGCCCCCCCGACTGGGCATTCGGCGATAGATCTGCAATATTTCGCTGGATGGCCAAATCGCCACAATTTCTACATGTTGGGGTAGGGATACCTTTCGAACTTGTAACCGATGTCCTGCTACAAAAACTGAGGATGGGGGATTCACGGCTGTCAAAATTAAACGAGCCACATTGCCAGGGATCGTCTCCCCCCGCGGGGCAGGGAAGAACGTAAGTGTCTACCTTGAGGATTGGGGATCTTGGGGTTCCGCTGTTCAAGAATGTCAGTGCCACATGTTGGGAAAATTTTTTTGGAACTATGGTATGGGGAGATGATGGACCACTACAAGAATTGAGGGGAAAGTGCTTTTCAATAGTTACAGGGAAAGTATCGATATGGGAAAGACGAGAAAGTCATGAGCCTGGGTGCATTTGTACGGTGACGATGGCGTATGCCTTTAGAGATGAAAAGAAATATCTTTACCAACATGGCGTAGGAGTGCCTTGCCAAAACTGTGGTCAGAAAGATAGGGAGTAGAGGAAGTCGGTCTAAAGTGAAAAATTTAGTCCACTTTGGGAGTTTGAAACTAGCGTGGAAAAGGTAGTGAAGGGCGTGTCGATCTTTTCTGAAAGAAGAGAAAGGGGGAGAAGTATCTCAGGGTAATTGTCGTTGTTGTTTAGGCGTGGGACGAGTTGGTCCCAGTGGAACGGGCCGGCGATTCGAAAATTGCCCACCGTAAGGGGGAGGCCGGAAGCATAGTCAGAGGAGAGGAAGGGCAGAAAAATCGAAGGATCGTGAGGGGCCTCAGTACCTGAAGCGGGTGAGGAAAAAGCACCGGCAAGAGGTCAGAGGAGAGGATGTCCCCAAGATGGTTCCAAAGACAGGGGGGGGTCAGAACGGGGCGGTATCAAAAAGGGGCCCGGGGGTAGCAGGTTCATGGACTAGGGCTGCCATGGTTAGGTTACTTCTTTTTTTTTGTTTTTTGAAAAAAAAGAAAAAAAAAATAAAATAAAATAAAAAAAATAAAAAAAGGGGGGCCGGGGGGGGGGAAGTTCCTTGAGGAATGAAAGGGCCGAAATTTCCCTCGCGCCCAAGAGGACCTCAGCCCGCAAGTACGCAGATGCGCAGGGAAACCCCTGCCATACCCACCCATCATGCCAGTTTAAACCGGCAATCCGGGATACAACCTCACTTGCCGAGCTACCTCGGTGGACAAAAGGAGGGGGGCCGGAAATCCGCCACAAAGCTACCTCCTTTGGCCACCACCCCCAATCCGAAAAGGGGTTCCAGAGATAAACCCTCGCCCGAGAGATACCCCCAAAACCACCCCCGGGGTACCGGAGAGGGATCAGGGCATCCCCCGGGGAAACCAATTTTTTACGGCAAACTACGCCACTGCCAAGAACCCAAAGGGAAGGGATGGACCCCGGTACCCTTTCCCTACCTAGGGAAATAGCGTGCCTGTGGGGAAAAAAAAAAAAAAAAAGGAAAAGGGAAAAGGAGGGGTGGGGGGGGAGGAGGAAAGGAAAAAAGGGGAGGATGGGATAGGGAACGGGGGATTGGGGGGTAATTAGGTTCGGTCTGAGGGAAATAGACCGACAGGTCTAGTTCCTCAGACCAGGCCTCTTACCACGCCCAAAGGGGCCCCCTTGAAGAGGTCACCAGCATAAAGGAACCTTCTTTGAGGGGTGCCCAGGCACCCCTACTGAAGGATTTAGCCAATGCAAGCAGTCAGTATATTTGGATGTATTTATATGAGCCCCCCTTTTCCCAATGGGCTCCTAGTTCAGCTTTTTTAAAATTTTGGAAAAAACGTAACAAAGTTACATAAATGCTTAGATAAACTTCTTTATCAAGTAACCTATGGATTTCATGGTGCTAGATTTCAATAAAAGAAAAATATGTTTTACTATTTTTTTATTACATTATTTGTATATAAAAAGTTCTTGTCATTATTTACAGAAATAATACATAATTCAAGAAAATAGCATTCAATAATTCTCCAAAATTCCTAAATACATAATACTTTTTTGAAGTTTAGTCCATAAAAGATTATCCATGGTTATCTGAAGACCAAAACAAGCAAATTTACTCTGCATCTTCACAGCAATTTTGATCTGTTGTCACCCGAGTTGCACTACACACATTGCCAAAAGATGTTCACTACATGACTGATAGACCTAATGGTAAATGTTCTTGCGTTAAACCCTTCACATTATTTACGAGTAGGAAACCTTTCTTTGAGAAAGTATCCATCTTTAAAGTGTATGCTTCACCAACTTTAATAGAGAAAACCTCGTTTAAAAATAAACTTCCTTTCGATAAATGAGGAAATTATTTTTCTTCTGTCCTATTTTAAGTAGCGTGCTTTGCTACACAAGGCAAAAAATAAAGTGAAGATCAGCCTCAAATATACCTCAAAATAAAAGACAAATATAATTATGATGATGTTACTGTTATATTTCATGCAAGATACACATTATGGGAAAGATAACATTTGTTGATAATTTTTTACTTTACATTTACAATATTTTCATGTTTGGTTTCAGTCATTCCTTACTGATACCGATTCATTTAAAGTCAAAGCACAAATTTTCACATTCGGCTGGAAACTAAAGCATTACCTATTAAAATCTATGTGTATACTGATCCTTCAGTTTGTCCCGTGATGAAAAGGCAATGTATGCAGCAGATATGCCTAGTCCAATTAGTCCTCCCATAGCACACTTTCTCATGCCAGCAGTTGATTTATAGAGGAGTCCTGTCATGGTTGCAGCCCCCACAGTGTTTATTTCATCCTCATGGCTGCCACGGGCATAGTACAAGAGGCATCCCAAGCCAGAGTACATAAATGCAATAACTCCAAGAGTATTAGCAGAGGCAGACCCACGCTTCATCAGATAATTTAGCAACCTGCAAATAAAAAAAATTTCATTAGCAATTTCTGGATTCATGAAACTACTTACATGAGAAATAGTTACAAATTTTAGCATCAAAGCTTGTACAAAAAAACAGTAATGTTAAATCCTGAAGTCTTCAAATGTACAAAACTGAATATACAGTATCAATTATATTAAGAATTATAATAAAAAAGAAGTGCTAAACCTACAAGGGTCATACAGCACAGTAGGGCAGGGAAGGGTGCAGGGGTATTGGACAGCAAGAGGGAGAGGGATTATTATTAGGTTATGGAGTGCAGTGGGGCAGTGGATAGTGCAGGGGTAGAGGGTAGCAAGAGATTGAGATAGAAAGGGCTGTGAGGAGTGCTAGAGGCATCATCATAGATTGTGTAGTAAATCAGTTGCTGTCAAAAGTCAACAAGAGAGTCTGGGTTAAAGGTGGGTCCATCAGCAAGCAGGGAAGGTAAAGTAAGGGCAGTAGAGCAGTGATGACGGTGGAGGTAAATTCTGCATGCTCGTTGATAAGAGGAGTGGGCAGTCCAATAGAATATGGCTAACAGAAACTGGAATCTGACAATTCTCATAGTGTGGAACAGGGCATCTCTCCATGAGATACCCGTGAGCAAGAAGAGTGTGGCCGATGCGAAGACAGGAGAGAGTAGTCTCCCAACCTTGACAATGATGACAAGATGATGGCCATAAACCTATACTTGGTTTAACAGAATACTATAATTTGTTTTGTAGTAGATCAAACCAATGCTGTTGCCAACGGGTGTGAAGGTAGGTAGCAATTTCAGCAAAATAGTCTGAGAATGGAACACCTCTATATAAAACTGGGAGGTCATGTACTGCTGACCGCGCAGCAGTGTCTGCCTGTTCATTGCCCAGTATGTCAACATGACCAGGGACAGTTATATTACAAAGCCTTCATTATTATTATTATAATATGGGGAAGCGCTAAACCCGTAGGATTATACAGTGCATGTGTGGTGGTGGGGGGGGGGGGGGGAGAGTATTTAGGCTCAATTGAGGGAACCGGAGCACAGATCCAATTCCCTAGATCAAGAACCCCTCAACAGTGTCGAGGAACCTCCCTTGAGGGGTAAGAAGCCTTCAGCACAAAACCTCACTATACCATGTAAATACAGTGTCATAAATATGGACAAACATATATAAGCTTTTATCAGGCTATTTGCCAGACAGTTTTGATAAGTGTCATGGCAACTTTATATTATTTAATGTTATTACTGGCAGTGCTTAATTTGTTTTGGCTTGATGAATGACTCGAAATGAAAACCATAGGATTTCACAGTAAATGAGCTCAGTGGGTTTCCTATGGCCAAATTCTTTTTTAATGAACATTTTTACCAAAGTCAATATTAATGAAATTTGAGCAACATCTCAAGATATATGGCCTCTGAAACACAAAAGGAGCCCAAATCTGAGGCAAAAGTTATTACATGGACAGCACAGTGGTATGCATAGCTTATACATTTGTCAGTACATGTACTTCAAGGAACGCAACCCCATGAAGTTTGGAACACTGATGATATAGTACGGCTAACCCTCCACTTTCTTGAGTTCCACTTTCGCGAGCTTCGAACATCTGTGAATGCCCAGCTGCCCAATCATATGTACCAAACAAATGCGGGAAAAAAGTACGGGAAAATGCTTCCTGCTGCGTCCCTACTACCCTCCCTCTTACCCCCTCAATGGCAGCCTGCCACTCACTCATTGTCCAGTTACTGTTTGTGTCGGTAGTGTCCAGTTACTGTTTGTGTCGGTAGTGTCCAGTTACTGTTTGTCCTACCGTACATGTGTTTGTGTGGTGGTGCAAGTATGGCCCCCCAAGCGAGCAGCAACCACTACTGATGAGCCAACCCCTAAGAGCTGAAAGAAAGTCACGAATCTGGATTAGAAGGTGAAACTGCTAGACAAGTGTAGGGCAGGTTATTTGAGCAAATCTGCCACTGGAAAATTATTTAATGTAAACAAAAGCACAGTGTGCTCTATCAAGAAAAAATGAGGCGAAGATAAGGGTGGCACTAGCATCTACTGCTCTTCCCTCAGCGAAGCAAGTGTCACAAGTAAGACACAGTGCAATTTCTAAAATGGAATCAGCATTGTGTGGATTTCTATATTTTACAATGTTTTCATGTACGTATTTTATGATTGTTCGTGGTTCAATAGGTTAAGGAAGCAGTATTGTTAGGTTAAGTAAATGCCATTATTACATTTCCCTACATATTTGCGCACCAAACATTTGCAAATTTTCAAGATTTGCAAGGTTCTTGATCCCCTAGCCCTCATGAATGTGGAGGGCCTCCTGTATTAGCTCTGAAATAAAGACAACAACTGTACGAATAAAAGAGTAGATGCAAGACAAGCTTAGATATGTCCATCAGACTTGTCACACAAATTTTAAATACGTACAGTAATTCTGAACTTTTTTTATCTGAATATCTGTAAAACCACATTGTTCATAAACATAATGATGGTCATGGACCATTCATAGTTTAGTGTGAACTCTTGTAAATTTCTTTAAGTACACTTTCAATAACAATCCTAAATAAATTTCATTAATGCAAAATACAGATGGGCGACATTTGCCTCTAGCGAGAATATTCTACTAAAGAAAGTATTCACAAGCTACAAACTTGCTCACAGGACTACTGTCCTATAGTCTGTTAAGGTCATTACCCAGAACTAGCCAATCTTTTAGTAGCATATACAGATACCAGGTACTGTGACAAAAAATTTGTTTTGATTAACTATACAGGATCATATTGCAGTCGTCACTGCCAGTGATGTAATGGATCGCAGTAGAGCTAAACAAGAGAGTCCTGTGTGGAGTCAAAACAAGTTCGATGCTAAAGTACATTGATAACTGGGACTGGATTCTTGACTAGATTTCATATTTTTTTATAAAACGCCCATAAATTCTGGAGAATACTGGTATCAATGAGGAAAATACTGGACTGGATACTCTGAAAGTTGATATTACAATTATGGGGAAGAACTAAACCTGAATGGGTCATGCAGTGCCTAAGGAATGGGAGGCAATTAAATCTGATCCAAGGAAATGGAGATCTCACCCAAGTCCCTGGATCAAGAGCCCTTTACAAGCACCATGGCACCTACCTACCTTGAAGAGTTGAGTCATAGATGATGGATCATTGATATGAAAAATACATACTACTATATGTAATTATATTTTGTAGCTAATAAAGCAATACCTTTATCAAAGGTTTACCAATTTAAAAATATTAATGAAAGAAGAAATAGTTTTTTGCACATAAAAAAAAGGTACTAACTAGTACCTGATTCTGGTCTACTGATCCATTGCTAAATATTATTTACAGTATCAATCTTTTGAGAAAATAATACCTTGTGATTGTTTTTGAATATGTATAATTTTTCCAACAAAAGATGTTTGGTTGGTGATTATATATAATCAGATAAAGGTTTATCCATTTTGACTTAAAGTCAATGTGAAGAAGTCTTCTCAGAAACTTGAAGCAAAAATGGTACCACCGCTGGGCATCTCCTTAATTTTTTTTTTTTTTTTTCCAACAAGTCGGCCCTCTCCCACCAAGGCAGGGTGACCCAAAAAAGAAAGAAAATCCCCAAAAAGAAAATACTTTCATCATCATTCAACACTTTCACCACACTCACACATTATCACTGTTTTTGCAGAGGTGCTCAGAATACAACAGTTTAGAAGCATATACGTATAAAGATACACAACATATCCCTCCAAACTGCCAATATCCCAAACCCCTCCTTTAAAGTGCAGGCATTGTACTTCCCATTTCCAGGACTCAAGTCCGACTATACGAAAATAATCAGTTCCCCTGAATCCCTTCACTAAATATTACCTTAATATGAATATATAATCATGCCATTACAAAGTAGAGTGAATTATCATTACAGTGATACCTCTTATATCTGAACTGTATGGGTGGAGACCGGTTTGGAAACACTGAGTTTCCGGATACATGAGGGGGGGAAAATGCGCATTTGTACCGTCATATTGCCATCCATACCTCATCATATCACCATCGGTGACAGCACTGTAGGTTTAAAAAATGAGTCCAACGTCATCTGGCAGTGGGACCAGACACTCTGGGCTCGAATAACAGCCTCCTGGATTTCACAGACCACAGGACCATAACTTTTCAAATGGACTGTGAATGCTCCAAATACTCCAAAAGTGTTTCGGCGCCTGCCTTTGCTGCTGACGATTTTGGTCTTGGAGGTATTGGGTCGTTGTCATCGCTCTCGGAATGTTCCAGACGCAACACTGATCCTGCAATCTCTGCATCCGTCAGAGATTGCACACCAAGGTTGTCTTCGTCACACTAGCCAGTCCTGCATGTCAGCATCATGAACCATCATACCACTACCACTGATCGAGTTCTAAGCTCTGTGGCTTCGCCATCACTTTTCTTTCGGCACGTTTTGGCCAACCAGTACACTAAAGTGTGCACCAAGTTTGATTCAGCCTTCTGTGCATCCTAACGGCTGTTCGGATGTTTCGGTAATACGTAATTTTAAAATTTTGCCCTTTCCCAGGGCCTGCTCAGATATTGGCGAGGTTCGGATAATGGCAGGCTGGATATGCGAGGTATCACTGTAAAATCAAAACTAAGTGCTAAACCCACCAGGGTTATACAACACTGCTAAAGTACAGTGAAACCTTAAATTAATGGATTGTTGGAAGGAAAGGGTGTCCAGTAATGTCCATTGTTTGCTAAATCCAAATGATGAGGTTGTTGTTCCATGATGTAACAACTGAAGATTCTTGATTTAATGAATTCTGTAAGATCTAAAATCAATTTACCCAGTAGACCATAACAATAATGGGCAATTCTGGATTTAATAAATTTTGTCCACTGTATCCATACTTTGTCTGGACAACAGATGTTCATTACATCCAAAATCCATTAAAACTAATTTAACATACTGTACTACATTACTAAATTACAGTATAACTCTTAAACTACATACTTAACTGCTTACCATTTCAGCCAAGACCAACCAGCCTAAGCAAATTCTTATTAGATTTCTCTTGGAACTTACTGTGTGCGTCTGATTTTGCCTGTGTGACCTGCCAACGCTGTCTCCTGGATGCCCCCATACAGCCCTTGTGCTCCGCCAAGACCAGCTCCAAGCAAGCATGATCCTTAAAGCAAAATGATGCATTGAAAACCATAATATCAATATATAAATAACAAAAAGGCACAATACCATGACTGGAACAATACACAAATAACCTGCACATAGGAGAGAGGAGCTTACTACGATGTTTCAGTCCGATTTGGACCATTGTAAATCATCCAAATCGAACCATTGGTTGTTTGTGTACAATATCAATATCACAGGAGCTGTATAGTGTTCCTGCTTTGAGAGAACCATACTTCATTAACAAAAAAATTTTTTTTTTTTATCATTTAACACAATGGCCATCTCCCACCAAGCCAGGGTAACAAAAAAAAAAAAATCTTTGCAGAGGTGCCCAGGTATGACAGTTTAAATGTCACAACAGTCAACATCCCAAACCTCTCCTTTAAATGCAGGCATTGTACTTCCCACCTCCAGGACTCGAGTCCGGCTAACCAGTTTCCCTGAATCCCTTCAAAAAAAATATTACCCTGCTTGCACTCCAACAGCTTTTTACAAGGGGTTTTTGGAAGGGGTTTTGGAAAACACTTAGTTATAAATTTTGTTTTAACTCTGACTTTTCCCACATAAGCTAGATGATCCAAAGAAGAAACATTCACAGTCAGTCATTCTAGCTGACTCTTTAGAAATGTTATACCATCACCCCCTTATTCACAAATTCCAAAAATTACATCTAGTTTGTCACTTTTCCAAAATACCTTCGAAGATAATCCTTCTCAATTTCAAAAAGCATGTCATTTCCACAGACCCCTCTCCTCTCATTCAAATCTTGCACACCTGAACATAATTGTTAATGATCAAACTGTATCACCATCCCATTCCCATCCTTCCACCAATCCTTTCAACAATATCTACTTAAGACTACTTTTCATCTACCCCAAGATTTACATGCCAAATTCTTTCTACATCATCAAACCACCTTTCATGTGGCATAATATTCACACCACACTTATCTCAGTCAAGACGTTCCATGTCTCCAAGTTATACTTAATGACTACTCTGATAAAATCTCAGTACTGTAACTGATGAACTCCCATTTCTGCTAACTATAATATTCCCACATTATTATAATCGGGGGGGGGGGGGGGGGGGGGGGCACTAAACCCATAGGTATTATACAACACCTGTAGAGGAAGGAGATGAAAGGTATCCAGGCTCAATTCAGGGAACTGGAGTATAGATCCATTTCCCTAGATCAAGAGCCCCTCACCAGCATCAACGAACCTTCCTTGAGGGGAATATTCCCACAACTTTCTTTCCCTCCTCTATTCTGTGATGTACCATATCCTTGAAAGAGCCATATGTTCATACACCTATTCTCAAATACTGTACATAAATATACATGTATTGTATTATCAGTCAGATGGAGGTGGAAATAAGTGCCTGCACTCTGAAGGGGTGGCAATGATGAGGGGTAATTTGAATTGTGATGTCTGTGCACTTCTGGCAAGACAGCTATTGAATGAGTGATGGTGAATGCATTTCTTTTTTCAGGTCACTGCACCTTGGTGGGAGAGGGCTGTGTTAAAAAAAGGTGATCAGTTTAAATTAGTTCCATTAACCCCTTGACTGTCACAACCCCCAATCCTGAGGTGTCTCCTGGTGTCACAAAATTTAAAAAAAAAAAAAAAAAAAAAAAAAAAAAAAATTCTTATGAAATGATAAGAGAATCTTTTCCCCAATTGTAATGACACCAAAAAAACGAAATTTGATGGAAAACTGATGGAATTGTGCTCTTGCGAAGTTAGCGACCTCGGCGATATTTACAAATCGGCGCTTTCACCCACTTTGAGCCCTATTTTTGGATAATTCCATTGTTCCAGTCAACCAAACTCATAGCTATTTCTTTAGAACTCCATTTTTCTATCGATTGAGTACAAGAAACTGCCCATTTACTGATTTCAACTACCCAATAACGTGGTCAGAAATTTGCAATTTGGCCAATTTCACGAAAATTAAAAAATATGACGATTTCAAAATAAGGACCAGAATGAACAATTCAGACATTCCTGGCTCTAAAATAACATTTTCTTTGTTCATCAGTCATGTCTCCAGGCCCTTGTGATATTACTCTTGCTTTCTATTTTGAATTTTTATTCAAACAAAAATAGAAGATTTACTGTTATGCAGACTACTGCAATACTGTAATAATTGTATAAATAACATCAACCCATTCATGACTGCATATCAGAATGGCTAGTTGGACATTTATTGGACAATGACATCATTTGTTTACTTTTGAACATCAGCAAAAATCAAACATTTCCCGTACTTTGAGCTCCATTTCCAGGATCCTTTTATAGTAAAATCAATCAAAATTACCTCTATTTCTATAATATATTTTCCATTCTATCAAATGAGACCAAGAAAACGAGAATACAACCATAAATACTATAAGAAAATAGACCACAAAGTCGGAGTTTTTTTTTCTCATTAAGCACTGCGTGCTCCAGGGTTTTTTTATATGGTGCACACTGACCACACAGACCCATTCTCTCACATGTGGGCCTACCAGCTTTCTCCTGCTTGATTTGAAGCCGCTAGAATTTATGAGTATATATACGTCAAACACGGTACCTCGTAAGATGTATATATACGGCCACGACAGTCAAAGGGTTAAGGATTATACCTCAACCCCACCCACTACCATTCAACTCTCATAACCCATAATCAATCTATGAACTGACTGGTCACAGATGTATCACCTATGGCCAAGTTGGTAAAAAAAAAAAAATTATTATTAGGAGACTTTTTCAACAGCAGTAGATACAGTATATTATTTCATGAGAGTAGCAGAGATAAAATATGTACATACTTTAATGTAATCCAAGAGAAGTTATGTGCTATAACCTGTGAAAATTATCAACAATTATGATAAACAATGAAAATGTTATATACAGTATACCATAAGTATAGCCCTGCTCCTGTAACTACAAATAATGTGCAATGTACAGCATGCATATGCAAAAAATTTAATAAAAGTTAAACTAACCTCCAATCTGTGAGAAGGCAAGTTCAAAACGTCCCCGCTTCTGTGAAGCCCCTTCTAATGCAATAAATTCTGGTTGAGTTGTTTGTAGGTAGGCAGGGTCGAAATTTAAATATGGTGACAGCTGAGACAGTCCCGGATTTGATGTTACTGAAACAAATACACATCACACCTATTAGTCCAGTAGGCAGAAAACTGTTCTGTTTAGTATATTATGAGATACTGTACATGTCTAGAACTGTATACCAAAATCTTTATAATAAATAACAAATGTGGTTTTAATAGAACTATTTTTCTCAAAATAATAATTTTCATATACTACTGTACTGTATTTAGTAATAAATACTCAAGATTGATACCGAATATGAAAATTGAAAGCATAATTAGATGCTAATCCATGAATTTGGTCCAGCTAAATGTGACTATTGAGCTAATGAGTCCAAAATTCAACAGTTTGCTCCATAATACTGTCAACGTTTTCAACCAACGAGATATCAAATTTGATGGTAAGTATTCATTGGAAGTATAAATTTATAAGTATGGTAATAAATATTACTATGGGATAAAATTTATATACTGTATTATTATGCAATCATTTTGAAAACCATAATGCTGGAATTATCAATTTACCAGTGCCTGTCACTGTGTTGGTTATACATGTAGTGGAAGCCTGTAATTGACAACTCTTTAAATAACATACTAACTATATAATAGAGCACGTCTTAATTTTTTAAAACATAAAACATAAAAAAAAATTATATAATTTCACATGCCAGGTTGTCATGCAAAGTTGAACAAAGTACAGGAAACTGTTAAATCCACTGGGACATTTGGCGCTGCACAGTAAAGATGAAGACTATGGTAGAGGTAGGATGTCTGATCCGCAATAGCTATGAACTGCTACTTGCTGGTCAAAACATGCTATATTGATTTTCTCTTGTTGGAGCATGGTTTATTTTTATTTTTATTTTTATTTTATTAATACATCGGCCATTGGGGCAGATTCCACAGATTCATTCATTCATTAGGAATTTGCCGGTACTTCCGGCCCGGGTCTTCTCCTAAATGCACTAGAAGACAAAAAGAATGCAGATGTAATATATACAGACTTTGCAAAAGCCTTCGACAAGTGTGACCATGGCGTAATAGCGCACAAAATGCGTGCTAAAGGAATAACAGGAAAAGTCGGTCGATGGATCTATAATTTCCTCACTAACAGAACACAGAGTAGTCGTCAACAGAGTAAAGTCCGAGGCAGCTACGGTGAAAAGCTCTGTTCCACAAGGCACAGTACTCGCTCCCATCTTGTTCCTCATCCTTATATCCGACATAGACAAGGATGTCAGCCACAGCACCGTGTCTTCCTTTGCAGATGACACCCGAATCTGCATGACAGTGTCTTCCATTGCAGACACTGCAAAGCTCCAGGCAGACATCAACCAAATCTTTCAGTGGGCTGCAGAAAACAATATGAAGTTCAACGATGAGAAATTTCAATTACTCAGATATGGTAAACATGAGGAAATTAAATCTTCATCAGAGTACAAAACAAATTCTGGCCACAAAATAGAGCGAAACACCAACGTCAAAGACCTGGGAGTGATCATGTCGGAGGATCTCACCTTCAAGGACCATAACATTGTATCAATCGCATCTGCTAGAAAAATGACAGGATGGATAATGAGAACCTTCAAAACTAGGGAGGCCAAGCCCATGATGACACTCTTCAGGTCACTTGTTCTATCTAGGCTGGAATATTGCTGCACACTAACAGCACCTTTCAAGGCAGGTGAAATTGCCGACCTAGAAAATGTACAGAGAACTTTCACGGCGCGCATAACGGAGATAAAACACCTCAATTATTGGGAGCGCTTGAGGTTCCTAAACCTGTATTCCCTGGAACGCAGGAGGGAGAGATACATGATTATATACACCTGGAAAATCCTAGAGGGACTAGTACCGAACTTGCACACGAAAATCACCCACTACGAAAGCAAAAGACTTGGCAGACGATGCACCATCCCCCCAATGAAAAGCAGGGGTGTCACTAGCACGTTAAGAGACCATACAATAAGTGTCAGGGGCCCGAGACTGTTCAACTGCCTCCCAGCACACATAAGGGGGATTACCAACAGACCCCTGGCAGTCTTCAAGCTGGCACTGGACAAGCACCTAAAGTCAGTTCCGGATCAGCCGGGCTGTGGCTCGTATGTTGGTTTGCGTGCAGCCAGCAGCAACAGCCTGGTTGATCAGGCTCTGATCCACCAGGAGGCCTGGTCTCAGACCGGGCCGCGGGGGCGTTGACCCCCGGAACTCTCTCCAGGTAAACTCCAGATGGTGACCCGGCGAAGATTTCACTGATGATTTATAAGTTCTTGTATAAATTGCATTTGTTTTATTAAAAGTAATCTACAAGTATTAGGTTAAGTCTGGCCGAAATGCCTCGGCTTGATAGTGGCTTTCTTTGTACCAATCAAACTATGAAATGTTAACACACATTGTAACCTTAGCAATTTTTTTTTTTATTTTATTTTATTTTAAGGAGCAACTGTTATACCTGGTACATATTACTATTACAATCAAAACTAAGCACTAAACCCACATGGGTCATACAGCAGTGGCACATATAGGAGAGAAAGGAAAGTGCTAGCAACAGATAAAAAGATGGATACAATATATTCAAATTCAAAGTTTATTCTCTATAATGATTACAATGTTGAATTTACAGAATTTGGTTGTTGTGTGGTTTACATGTACATGTAGTTAAATAATGATTACAGAGTGTACCACTAGAACGCCTAGCATGGCTAGGCATTTCGGGGAGACTTAGTTTAATTCTTTATTTTAAAATATTACAAATTATGAGGTAAGTTGGTATTATGGCTAAGTGACTAAATACTAGTTTGTGAGTTTAGCAATGTGAATGCTTTTTTTTGGCACAGTACATAGTTTCAGTATTGGAGTATCATAGGATTCATTATTTTAAGATTGAGATTAATATTTCTGTTTATGGTCAAATGAGTGAGTGAGTGAAATATAGGTGTTGGATCAGTGTAGTAGTCCTTGGACAAAATAGTTGTCCCTACAAATTTGCAGGTTTATGTTCCTAAAGGGAAGGATAGCGCTAAATCCGTAGGGGTCATAGTATGACTGAAGTAATGAGAGGCAATCTGGCTCGATAGGTTTGGTAACAGAGCTACAGATGTCCCTCTTAACATAATGATAAACGGATCACCTATCACAAAGCTAACAGAGGGAAAATTCTTAGGAATCCACCTTGATAATAGACTCAAATTTCATACACATATACAACAAATTACTAAGAAAATTTCCAAGACTGTAGGCATACTATCGAAGATACGGTACTATGTTCCACAGTCAGCCCTCCTGGCCCTATATCACTCTCTTATTTACCCCTATCTCACCTATGGAATTTGTGCATGGGGCTCAACAACAATTAACCATCTCAGACCACTAATTACCCAACAAAAGGCTGCAGTTAGAATGATAAATTCTCACTACAGGCAGCACACTCCACCAATATTCAATACACTAAACCTACTCACCATACAAAACATCCATACTTATTACTGCACCTATTACATACATAGAACACTTAACTCTGATATTAACCCTCCCCTCAAACATCTCCTTGCCAACCTCAACAGAACACATGACCATAACACAAGGCACAGATCACTCTTTGATGTTCCTCGTGTCCATCTCACACTATGCAAAAACTCAATGCACATAAAAGGCCCTAAAATCTGGAATTCATTACCTGTAAATATAAAAGAAACACTACCTGTTTATAAATTCAAGTCTCTTCTCAAAGATCACTTACTCACCCAAAACCAAATAAATACTGAATAACTGAACCTTATAAATTGTATATCTTAAATGTTTCTCACAATTATATCACATAAATGTTAAACCTAAAACCGAATCTAACTTTATTATTTTTTAAATACACTACCTAACAGAATCCTTCATATGACTGAATGCAACCATATGACCTGTCTTTGTAATACTCACTTGTGCTTTATAGTAATCTGTTTACATTAATGTTTTATCACTGATTTCATCATGCTTAGTTAATCTTAAGTTAATTTTAAGCCAGCCCGTAATGCTATGCATAGTATAAGTGGCTTTGGCATGCTGCTCTTATCTGTATTTTTTTGTACCTCTGTATGTGTGCTCAAATTGAAAATAAAAATAAATAAAAAATAAAATAATAAATAAATAAATAGGTTAAACAGTTTGTATTAAGACACCTTCCTTAGGGTGTCTCCTTGTCGAGTCAATCCATCATTCCTTGTAACTCACATGGGACGTTCATCCCGGGGTCCGAGGCGCCGTACGACGGATTGACGAGGCCAAATATACTTCCACTTCTGTTATCCATCGCCATGTTAGAAGTTTGTGGGTGGTAACGTTGAAGAAATATGAATGTTGGACTCTGTCACGTCTGACGACCACCTGGGCCAGGGTCGTCTGCGCACTCCTTCCTTCCTTCCCTGGCTGGGTACACCATCTCTTACTTTATTAATAATGATAAAAAATAATGCTTAGTTTCCCCCCAAAAAAATATTTAGACGTTAAAAATTTAAAGCCCATAGGATGCATAGCATTTCGGATAGATTTAAACTAGGGGTAAAACTATCTAATGCTAAGAAAAATTACATGAAAGCATTTTTAGTTCAGCGCCACAACCAATCTACATTTTTAGTGCTAATTTTACTATAAATTTGTTTATTTCAACAAATTTGATTTTATTATTAATGATTATTTTATCCATTATATTTATGAGGAAGCGCTAAATCCGTATGGGGTCATACAAAGCCTGAGGTATGAAAGACAAGGGTTTGATCCAAGGGGAAGACAGTTCAAATTCTTTGGATCGAGAGCCCTTTACCAGCACTGAGACACCCACTTCTCCCTCTTTGAAAGGATTTTGATCTTTAGTTATGCTACATTGAGCCTTTAAATAAACCTATTCTGCCAAGTATAATTTCAAACCTGCCCGAAATGCTTTGCATAACTAAGGGCTTTTCCATGTATGACACAACCTGTGTTAATTAATATATTATATAATTGTACCTTCCTGAAAAATGAGCTAATTTTGATCCCAGCCTTGGTAGGAACTAGCGCTCGCTGATGCAATCACAAATGAGTCGAGAGATGCGGAATGTTTCATTATAATTGTTATAATAAATCATGGCACTAAGTCAATTTATTCGCTTCTTCAACTGTCTCTTATTATATTAATGACCTTTTTTTTGACTGAAGAAGCCTACTGTGCAGGCGAAATGTTTCAGGATTAGAGATACGTAATAATTGCAGCCACAGAGGGTATAGTTTATATTCATGTAACATATTCATCTGATTGTTTTTTTTTTCTCTTTCATGCTTATGTAATTCTTTTTGATGGATTTGATTTATTCAGTTTATTTGTATTTAATCACTCAATTGTGCTTGTTTTAATTATAAACAATCGTGGCGGACTTTCGTGTAATAGGCTGCTGAACATGTTACAAGAACCCCAATGGAAATAAGTTACATGGGCTTTTAGGTTAGCTAAGGTAATTTATACAAATGTTACTATGTAAGACATTTGTAATATCCAAAACTGTGTAAAACTGTACCTAAATAAAGTTAGATTTAAGACCTTGATCGAAGTTTTAATTACTGACTTTACTTATTTGTTAGTATTGGTATACCATTAATATAATGATACCAAAGAGATCATCCAGAGTTTGGGAAACGGGAGATAATCAGTTTAATTCTGGGAAAGGGATGTTAACTCAAATTTCTTAGATCAAAATCACTTCAGTTGCATCAAAACACATCCCTTGAAGGGTATGAAAATGGAAACTTCAAACATGTATTTCTAAATTCTAAATCAACCTACCAGCGCTGTATAGCCCTTGTGGCTTAGCGCTTCTTTTTGATTATAATAATAATAATAATAAATCAACCTTCAATTGATCTTGAATAATTTGAAGACAATTAATAAAAGAAATACAGTGGACCCCCGGTTAACGATATTTTTTCACTCCAGAAGTATGTTCAGGTGCCAGTACTGACCGAATTTGTTCCCATAAGGAATATTGTGAAGTAGATTAGTCCATTTCAGACCCCCAAACATACACATACAAACGCACTTACATAAATACACTTACATAATTGGTCGCATTTGGAGGTGATCGTTATGCGGGGGTCCACTGTATAAATAAAAAAATTGTAGTCTGACTAACCTTTACCAGGCTTCAACTTTTATTTGATTTTATTCATGAGGAAGTGCTAAACCTGTAGGGGTCATTGTGCTAAAGGAATGGGAGACATTTAAGTTCAGTCCAAGGAAGTGGAGGATAAATTTAATTCCTTGGACCAAGAGCCCCTCACTGGCATCTTGAAAGGACAACTTAATTATAACATTCGCAAAATGTGCTAAATCATAAACCTCATTTAACACTCTTTAGATTACCATATATTCATGGGGAAGTGCTAAACCCATAAGAGCCATACAGCACCTGAGGAATGGGAGTACTGGGGTAATCAGGTTTCTTCTGAGGAAGGAGATGATAGCTTCAATTCCTTGGACCAAAAGCCCTTTCCTAGCTTCAGTTATATTCATGGGAAAATGCTTAACCTATAAGATTATTATCATTGGGGAGAGCTAAACCCATAGGGATTATACAGCACCTGTGGGGGGATGGAAGGCATTCAGGCTCAATTCAGGGAACTGGAGCACAGATCCAATTCCCTAGACCAAGAGCCCCTCACCAGCATCAAGGAACCATCCTTGAGGGGTAAACCCATAAGTCACACACCACTTGGGGATAGGAGGCACCGGGCTTTGATCTGACAGGATGAGTAATTCCACTTTCCTGGATCACAAGCTTATCACCAGCTGCAAGGTACCTCCACCTTAAAGAGGACTGCATACTGCATTAATAAAAACTACTTTAAAATTTTAGTTTAGTATTACACTTAATGGAACAGTGATATACAGTATTAGCCATTTCTCTTGATATACTACCTAAACCTTCGATAATACTGAAACCCTCAAAACTGTTCCAATAACACTGACTAACAATAGTTTCAGTTCATGTTTAAAAATGTTTCTAACTAATTTTAGAATAATGAATTCAAATTTGAATATACAAGTTTTGCTCCCCAAGGTAAACAATTTCACCAAGAGACTAAAGTTCAGATTCATGATCAGCACATCAAAGTTAGCTTAAAACAACCAATTTGGTGTCTGAACTGGATATAGAATTTGTTGGCCAGTGTATTTCTTAAACCATAAAGTCTGCCCAATTGCTGCTGGACATAAAACCCATTTAGCTTTTTACCAGTTTGGCAAGATGCTATTACATGGAATAATTTCAAGAGTTTGTTTTTATAAATTTATTTAAAACCATATACTGTATTATAGTACTGTAGCTTCTTATTCTTGAACTTGACTACAACTTTGCTCAAGGTGTTCTTTTTGGCTGGAATTACATGTTGAAAGTTTCTGGAGAATATCAGGATCTAATCGTTGTCTCTTGATGTAATGCTCTACTCGGGTCTCCAAGCTCTCTGTAAGTTGTAAAAAAAAAAAAAAAAAAAGTAATTTCAAATGCACTGTATAAAAACCTGCATACAGTGATCTGTGGGAGGCCAAACCCACTTCTGTACATTTATAAATACAGCAGGTTGCATAATATCTATTCAAAATAATTAACAAACATTTTAATTCAAGTAAGCATCCAGATACTATCAACAAAAATTCAAAATTAGTATTTTGACTGGCATTATTTAGGTAAAAATTTAAGTTGTAGCTTCATAACTCATAAGTATTTATAACTAAATAATCATAGTTTTTATTATTCCTACTTCAGTGGGGAAGGGATGGGAAAGGAACTTGCCCAGGAAGGATAGAAAGATATGGCAGGAAAGGGAAGGTTTTAAATATGCTCAGTAACACCTGGTTGGTGTGACAGTTAACTGTTAACAAAAGGCAAAATAGAAAATTAAGCTGCACATTGCACAAGATTACTAACATATTAAAAGTAACATTTTATTATGAGAAAGCTATGCCAAGGAGCCCTTTTTAACATATTAATGTATAATATAAATCTACAAAGTTAATGAGTTATTTTTTTTTATTATTATTATTATCACACTGGCCGATTCCCACCAAGGCAGGGTGGCCCGAAAAAGAAAAACTTTCACCATCATTCACTCCATCACTGTCTTGCCAGAAGGGTGCTTTACACTACAGTTTTTAAACTGCAACATTAACACCCCTCCTTCAGAGTGCAGGCACTGTACTTCCCATCTCCAGGACTCAAGTCCGGCCTGCCGGTTTCCCTGAATCCCTTCATAAATGTTACTTTGCTCACACTCCAACAGCACGTCAAGTATTAAAAACCATTTGTCTCCATTCACTCCTATCAAACACGCTCACGCATGCCTGCTGGAAGTCCAAGCCCCTCGCACACAAAACCTCCTTTACCCCCTCCCTCCAACCCTTCCTAGGCCGACCCCTACCCCGCCTTCCTTCCACTACAGACTGATACACTCTTGAAGTCATTCTGTTTCGCTCCATTCTCTCTACATGTCCGAACCACCTCAACAACCCTTCCTCAGCCCTGTGGACAACAGTTTTTGGTAATCCCGCACCTCCTCCTAACTTCCAAACTACGAATTCTCTGCATTATATTCACACCACACATTGCCCTCAGACATGACATCTCCACTGCCCTCCAGCCTTCTCCTCGCTGCAACATTCATCACCCACGCTTCACACCCATATAAGAGCTTTGGTAAAACTATACTCTCATACATTCCCCTCTTTGCCTCCAAGGACAAAGTTCTTTGTCTCCACAGACTCCTAAGTGCACCACTCACTCTTTTTCCCTCATCAATTCTATGATTCACCTCATCTTTCATAGACCCATCCGCTGACACTCCACTCCCAAATATCTGAATACATTCACCTCCTCCATACTCTCTCCCTCCAATCTGATATTCAATCTTTCATCACCTAATTTTTTGTTATCCTCATAACCTTACTCTTTCCTGTATTCACCTTTAATTTTCTTCTTTTGCACACCCTACCAAATTCATCCACCAATCTCTGCAGCTTCTCTTCAGAATCTCCCAAGAGCACAGTGTCATCAGCAAAGAGCAGCTGTGACAACTCCCACTTTGTGTGTGATTCTTTATCTTTTAACTCCACGCCTCTTGCCAAGACCCCGCATTTACTTCTCTTACAACCCCATCTATAAATATATTAAACAACCAACGGTGACATCACACATCCTTGTCTAAGCCTACTTTTACTGGGAAAAAATTTCCCTCTTTCCTACATACTCTAACTTGAGCCTCACTATCCTCGTAAAAACTCTTCACTGCTTTCAGTAACCTACCTCCTACACCATACACTTGCAACATCTGCCACATTGCCCCCCTATCCACCCTGTCAACGCCTTTTCCAAATCCATAAATGCCACAAAGACCTCTTTAGCCTTATCTAAATACTGTTCACTTATATGTTTCACTGTAAACACCTGGTCCACACACCCCCTACCTTTCCTAAAGCCTCCTTGTTCATCTGCTATCCTATTCTCCGTCTTACTCTTAATTCTTTCAATTATAACTCTACCATACATTTTTACCAGTACACTCAACAGACTTATCCCCCTTAATTTTTGCACTCTCTTTTATCCCTTTGCCTTTATACAAAGGAACTATGCATGCTCCTGCCAATCCTAGTACCTTACCCTCTTCCATACATTTATTAAATAATGCACCAACCACCCAAACAAATCCCCACCTGCTTTTAACATTCTATTTTTATCCCATCAATCCCGGCTGCCTAACCCCTTCATTTTACCTACTGCCTCACGAACTTCCCCCACACTCAAAACCCGGGCTCTTCCTCACTCCTACAAGATGTTATTTCCTCCTTGCCCTATACATGAAATCACAGCTTCCCTATCTTCATCAACATTTAACAATTTCCCTCAAAATATTCCCTCCATCTTCCCAAACCTCTAACTCTCCATTTAATAACTCTCCTCTCCTATTTTAACTGACAAATCCATTTGTTCTCTAGGCTTTCTTAACTTGTTAATCTCACTCCAAAACTTTTTCTTATTTTCAAAAAAATTTGGGTGATAACATCTCACCCACCCCTCTCATTTGCTCTCTTTTTACATTGCTTCACCACTCTCTTAACACCTCTCTTTTTCTCCATATACTCTTCCCTCCTTGCATCACTTCTACTTTGTAAAAACTTCTCATATGCTAACTTTTTCTCCCTTACTACTCTCTTTACATCACCCATCCACCAATCGCCCCTCCTCCCCTCTGCACCCACTTTCCTGTAACCACAAACTTCTGCCTGAACACTCTAACACTACATTTTTAAACCTACCCCATACCTCTTCGACCCCATTGCCTATGCTCTCTTTACCCCATCTATCCCCAATAGCTGTTTATATCTTACCCTAACTGCCCCTCTTTTAGTTTATAAACCTTCACCTCTCTTTTCCCTGATGTTTCTATTCTCCTTGTATCCCATCTACCTTTTACTCTCAGTGTAGCTACAACTAGAAAGTGATCTGATATATCTGGGGCCCCTCTTTAAACATGTACCTCCTGAAGTCTACTCAACAGTCTTTATCTACCAATACATAATCCAACCAAACTACTGTCATTTCGCCCTACATCATATCGTGTATACTTATTTATCCTCTTTTTCTTAAATTTATGTATTACCTATAACTAAACCCCTTTCTATACAAAGTTCAATCAAAGGGCCCCCATTATCATTTACACCGGGCACCCCAAACTTACCTACCACACCCTCTCTAAAAGTTTCTCCTACTTTAGCATTCGGTCCCCTACCAAAATTTACTCTCTCACTTGGTTCAAAGGCTCCTATACATTCACTTAACATCCCCCAAAATCCCCTTCTCTCCTCTGCATTCCTCTCTTCTCCAGGTGCATACACGTTTAAATTAGACCCACTTCTCGCATCCCCCTTTTACTTTAATCCACATAATTCTTGAATTTACACATTCATATTCTCTTTTCTCCTTCCATAACTGATCATTTAACATTACTGCTACCCCCTTTCCCTTTTCTCTAACTCTCTCAGATACTCCAGATTTTAACCATTTATTTCCCCCCACTGAAACTCCCCCTACCCCCTTCACTTTGTTTCGCTTAGAGCCAGGACATCCAACTTTTTTTCATTCATAACATCAGCAATCATCTGTTCTTGTCATCGCACTACATCCACGCACATTTAAGCATCCAGTTTTATAAAATTTTTCTTCTTTTTTTTTAGTAAATGTATACAGGAGAAGGGGTTTACTAAACCCATTGCTCCCGGCATTTTAGTCGCCTCATACGACAAAGCATGGCTTACGGAGGAAAGATTCTTTTCCACTTCCCCATGGACAATAGAAGAAATAAAAAAGAACAAGAGCTATTTAGAAAAAGGAGAAAAACCTAGATGTATGTATATATATATATATGCATGTGCGTGTCTGTGAAGTGTGACCAAAGTGTAAGTAGGAGTAGCAAGATATCCCTGTTATCTAGCGTGTTTATGAGACAGAAAAAGAAACCAGCAATCCTACCATCATGCAAAACAGTTACAGGTTTTTGTTTCACAGTCATCTGGCAGGACGGTAGTACTTCCCTGGGTGGTTGCTGTCTACCAACCTACAAAAATCTGTATTTGTAAAAGGCCAATGCAGAGGCAAAGAAGATTGAAGAAATCTCATAAGATTATTCAACATGAATATAAGAAATAAGCATCAATAGGCAAATATATATATGTTACTAATACTACTTACTTACTTCTACTTACACTTAGGTCACACTACACATACATGTACACGTTTATTTATACACACTCATCTGAGTTTTCTTTGATTTTTATCTTAATAGTTCTTGGTCTTATTACTTTTCCTTTTATATCCATGGGGAAGTGGAATAAGAATCTTTCCTCCGTAAGCCATGCGTGTTGTAAAAGTCAACTAAAATGCCGGGAACAATGGGCTAGTAACCCCTTTTCCTGTAAAGATTACTAAAAAGAATAAGAAGAAGAAAATTGTCAAAGTGGGAAGTCTGAAGTGCGTGGATGTTGTGCAAATATAAGAAAGAGATGATTGTGGATGTTATGAATGAGAAGAAACTGGATGTCCTGGCTTTAAAGTGAAACAAAGTTGAAGGGGGTGGGAGAGTTTCAAAGGAGAGGAATAAATGGGATTAGGTCAGGGGTTTCAAAATAGAGTTAGAGCTAAAGAAGGAGTAGCAATAATGTTGAAGGATAAGCTATGGCAGGAAAAGAGGGACTACAAATGCATAAATTCAAGGATTATGTGGAGTAAAATAAAAATTGGATGTGAAAAGTGGGTTATAGTAAGCGTGTATGCACCTGGAGAAGAGAGAAGTGTAGAGGAGAGAGAGAGATTCTGGGAAATGTTGAGTGAATGCGTGGGAGTTTTGAATCAAGTGTGAGAGTAATGGTGGTTGGGAATTTCAATGCTAAAGTGGGTAAAAATGTTATGGATCGAGTAGTAGGTAAATTTGGGGTGCCAGGGGTAAATGTAAATGGGGAGCCTTTAATTGAGCTATGTGTAGAAAGAAATTTGGTAATAAGTAATACATATTTTATGAAAAAGAGGATAAATAAATATACAAGGTATGATGTAGCACGTAATGAAAGTAGTTTGTTAGATTATGTATTGGTGGATAAAAGGTTGATGGGTAGGCTCCAGGATGTACATGTTTATAGAGGGGCAACTGATATATCAGATCATTATTTAGTTGTAGCTACAGTTAGAGTAAGAGGTAGATGGGAAAAGAGGAAGGTGGCAACAACAAGTAAGAGGGAGGTGAAAGTGTATAAACTAAGGGAGGAGGAAGTTCGGGCGAGATATAAGTGACTATTGGCAGAAAGGTGGGCTAGTGCAAAGATGAGTAGTGGGGGGCTTGAAGAGGGTTGGAATAGTTTTAAAAATGCAGTATTGGAATGTGGGGCAGAAGTTTGTGGTTATAGGAGGGTGGGGGCAGGAGGAAAGAGGAGTGATTGGTGGAATGATGAAGTAAAGGGTGTGATAAAAGAGAAAAAGGTAGCTTACGAGAGGTTTTACAAAGCAGAAGTGTTATAAGAAGAGCAGAGTATATGGAGAGTAAAAGAAAGGTGAAGAGAGTGGTGAGAGAGTGCAAAAGGACAGCAGATGAAAGAGTGGGAGAGGCACTGTCAAGAAATTTTAATGAAAATAAGAAAAAATTTTGGAGTGAGTTAAACAAGTTAAGAAAGCCTAGGGAAAGTATGGATTTGTCCGTTAAAAACAGAGTAGGGGAGTTAGTAGATGGGGAGAGGGAGGTATTAGGTAGATGGCGAGAATATTTGAGGAACTTTTAAATGTTGAGGAAGAAAGGGAGGCGGTAATTTCATGCACTGGCCAGGGAGGTATACCATCTTTTAGGAGTGAAGAAGAGCAGAATGTAAGTGTGGTGGAGGTACATGAGGCATTACGTAGAATGAAAGGGGGTAAAGCAGCTGGAACTGATGGGATCATGACAGAAATGTTAAAAGCAGGGGGGATATAGTGTTGGAGTGGTTGGTACTTTTGTTTAATAAATGTATGAAAAGAGGGAAGGTACCTAGAGATTGGCAGAGAGCATGTATAGTCCCTTTATATAAAGGGAAAGGGGACAAAAGAGATTGTAAAAAGTATAGAGGAATAAGTTTACTGAGTATACCAGGAAAAGTATACGGTAGGGTTATAATTGAAAGAATTAGAGGTAAGACAGAATGTAGAATTGCGGATGAGCAAAGAGGCTTCAGAGTGGGTAGGGGATGTGTAGATCAAGTGTTTACATTGAAGCATATATGTGAACAGTATTTAGATAAAGGTAGGGAAGTTTTTATTGCATTTATGGATTTAGAAAAGGCATATGATAGAGTGGATAGAGGAGCAATGTGGCAGATGTTGCAAGTTTATGGAATAGGTAGTAAGTTACTAAATGCTGTAAAGAGCTTTTATGAGGATAGTGAGGCTCAGGTTAGGGTGTGTAGAAGACAGGGAGAATACTTCCCGGTAAAAGTAGGTCTTAGACAGGGATGTGTAATGTCACCATGGTTGTTTAAATATATTTATAGATGGGGTTGTAAAAGAAGTAAATGCTAGGGTGTTCGGGAGAGGGGTGGGATTAAATTATGGGGAATCAAATTCAAAATGGGAATTGACACAGTTACTTTTTGCTGATGATACTGTGCTTATGGGAGATTCTAAAGAAAAATTGCAAAGGTTAGTGGATGAGTTTGAGAATGTGTGTAAAGGTAGAAAGTTGAAAATGAACATAGAAAAGAGTAAGGTGATGAGGGTATCAAATGATTTAGATAAAGAAAAATTGGATATCAAATTGGGGAGGAGGAGTATGGAAGAAGTGAATGTTTTCAGATACTTGGGAGTTGACGTGTCGGCGGATGGATTTATGAAGGATGAGGTTAATCATAGAATTGATGAGGAAAAAAGGTGAGTGGTGCGTTGAGGTATATGTGGAGTCAAAAAACGTTATCTATGGAGGCAAAGAAGGGAATGTATGAAAGTATAGTAGTACCAACACTCTTATATGGATGTGAAGCTTTGGTGGTAAATGCAGCAGCGAGGAGACGGTTGGAGGCAGTGGAGATGTCCTGTCTAAGGGCAATGTGTGGTGTAAATATTATGCAGAAAATTCGGAGTGTGGAAATTAGGAGAAGGTGTGGAGTTAATAAAAGCATTAGTCAGAGGGCAGAAGAGGGGTTGTTGAGGTGGTGTGGTCATTTAGAGAGAGTGGATCAAAGTAGAATGACATGGAAAGCATATAAATCTATAGGGGAAGGAAAGAGGGGTAGGGGTCGTCCTCGAAAGGGTTGGAAAGAGGGGTAAAGGAGGTTTTGTGGGCGAGGGGCTTGGACTTCCAGCAAGCGTGCATGAGCGTGTTAGATAGGAGTGAATGGAGACGAATGATACTTGGGACCTGACGATCTGTTGGAGTGTGAGCAGGGTAATATTTAGTGAAGGGATTCAGGGAAACCGGTTATTTTCATATAGTCGGACTTGAGTCCTGGAAATGGGAAGTACAATGCCTGCACTTTAAAGGAGTGGTTTGGGATATTGGCAGTTTGGAGGGATATGTTGTGTATCTTTATACGTATATGCTTCTAAGCTGTTGTATTCTGAGCACCTCTGCAAAAGCAGTGATAATGTGTGAGTGTGGTGAAAGTGTTGAATGATGATGAAAGTATTTTCTTTTTGGGGATTTTCTTTCTTTTTTGGGTCACCCTGCCTCGGTGGGAGACGACCAACTTGTTGGAAAAAAAAAAAAAAAAAAAAACTAATACTGCTTTCAACAGAATATAATACAGTACAGTATTACCATTTTTTATACAGTATGTACATTAATCATAACATTAATAAAATATCATTGACCCAACTCACCACATGTTGGTCTAGAGAGCAGAGGTTTGTATACTTTGGTTCTTGCACCTGGAATTAAACTGACACTCTGTGCTTGAGGAAACTTTGTCACCCTGGATTCTTCCTGTGGCAAGGATGAATTCCAATCTCTTGGTGCACTTTCTTCTTTATTTACCTTAACTCTCTCTCCATACAGACCTTCTAGATCCCACAGCATTCTTCGAATCATTGTGGACCTGGGACAATCCAAATCAACATTGCTAATTTAGATTCTAAACAACCCATCTTTTTTTGAGTAAATTAACTGTGCAAAAATATATGAATGTCAAGTGATGTCATATGTCTCTATTGATGTAATTTTTTCCTTTCATTATTGATGTATATTTATGGATTAGATTAAGTACAGAAAACCTTCAATGCACTGATGACCACTTTACCGTATAGAGTGTTGCATCCACAGTGCCTGTAGCTGTGTGATCACACAAAGAAGATTGTCATTATCCCATTGCCACTCTACCCCCTCAAAAGTTGTTCCATAAAGGTTTAAAGGCACATCACTAGCAAGACAGTATTGTGGCTTCCTGAAAGAGTAATATATAATCCACTACCATACCCAACATTAAAAAAGACATAAGAGAACAGACCATACAATTACCATGGTACCTCGCGATACGAACAGCTGAAAACTCGAACAATTATGTAAGTGTATTTATGTAAGTGCTTTTGTAAAGTGTATTTTTGGGGGTCTGAAACGGATTAATCTAATTTACATTATTCCTTATGGGAACAAATTCATTCGGTATCAGCACTCAAACAGCCTTCTGGAACGAATTAAGTTCGTATCCCGAGGTACCACTGTATGTACTTCAATTATTTATTAATATTACAATTATTTCATTTAAAAACTGTAACATGGAAATCTGTAAAAATCCAAAGCTTCATACTATATCCATATGAGTCTACAAGGTTAGTACATATATAATACAAAGCTGGTCGCATATGTCCTCTACAAAATGACTTCCAGAGCTTAAAAGAAGAATATAAAAATTATGATTGACAGGAAGAAAAAATGAGATATGGTAACCATTTGAAAGATCAATAAGTACAGTATGCAAAATATAAATGAACCATTTATTTCCATGATTAAGCAATTCACATATAGATACACAAGAAAAAATTTACCTGGGATGATTTTCAACATCTAACAGATGTTTTACAATATCAGGTTTCTCCTTGCCTTCTCCAACAAGAAACAGGATGGCCATGATTGCTCGTACTTGATGCCACAGAAAAGCCTCCCCCTCAATTGTAGCTACACACATGTCATATCCATCAGTATGATGCTTTTTATTACATATGCCACTGTTCTTTCCATAATGCTCCAGAAAATTATTGCTTGTTAACCTTCTTCTATCTGTTGCCTCATGAATAAATTTGCATGGTAAATCTAAATTTAGTTTAATGTCTTGCTTATCTTGTTCTGTAGTGAGACTTTCATTATTCAAAGATGGATTCTCTATTCTATGTACATCACAGCACACTAGAGAAATGCTCACGGAGAGTATACGACGACAAAAATTGACAACTCCATTTCCAACATCCATCTTGCAGAAGTTCCTATAATCGTGGTATCCCACCAAGTACTGAGCACTTTCATTCATTTCCTGGTTAGACAGTGAGACCAAAAACAAGTAAAAAAGGGAAATACAATTTTTTCTTTTATTAACCTCTCTCCCAAGGTATTTAAAAACTTTGTTAACGGGCAAAACTCCCTAGAAGTATATAAATTTATTCCAAAATTTTTTAAAAAAGGGGTTTTTAAACTTTCCCCTTAAATGTATTTAATAAAAGGTTGCATTTTAAACTTCACCCTTTAAACAAAATGTAGACCCTTCCCCCCTTTTTAAAAACCCTTAAATGTACAGGGGTTGGTATCAAAAAACCCCCCTTTCTGTTGGCTTTTTTAAAAAAATTTAGCAAATATTTTTCTTTACAGGAGTGGGCTAAAAAATGAAGCCTATGAAAGTTTTTAAATTGGTGCCCAAAAAATGTTTTGAAATTTTTGCTTGTTTTTACCTCAAATTCCCCAAATAAATTTTAATGCTTGTTTTTTTTCCCTGAATGAATTCTTTTAAAAGGGTTTTTTTTTTTTTTTCCAAAAGTTGGCCTTTCCCCCCCCGGGGCGGGTGACCCAAAAAAAAAGAAAAATCCCCAAAAAGAAAATATTTTTCATCATTCAAACTTTCCCAAAATGCACTTTATCACTGTTTTTTGCAGGGTGCCGAATACAACATCTAGAAGAAACACTTTATAAAGAAAAAACAACATACCCTCCAAATTCCCAAAATACCCCCAAAAACCCCCCTTTTAAAAAGGCGGGATTGTATTTCCCCATTTCCAGGACTCAATAAAAATAATAAAAATAATAAAAAAAATTTAATAAAAAATAATAAAATTTAATAAAATAATAAAAATATTTTTTTTTAAACATGATAAATGTTTGTAAAAGAAATTTAAAGATGGGTGTAAAATCCCAAAATTTGCCCCTTTAGTGCAGGCAGTTTTCGGCAAACAAAAAATTTAAAACTTATATTAAAAAGGCAATAACAGTACATATGGTCATTTTTTTTCATTTTAGCGGGACTTTGGGGCCGGGAAAGGAAAAAGAAAATTTTGCCTGCACTTTAAAGGGGTTTTGGGAATTGGCAGTTTGGGGGGGGGGGGAAAATTTATGTTGTGTATCTTTAAAATGTGTATGTTTTCTAACTTTTTGTATTTGAGCACCTAGAAAAAACGGGTTAATGTGTGAGTGTGGGAAAAGTTTTGAATGTTTATGAAAGTATTTTTTTTTTGGGTTTTTCTTTCTTTTTTTGGGAAAACCCTCCCTTCGGGGGGAGCCCCCGGGGCCCGACTTGTTAAAAAAAAAAAAAAATGGCTTAGATAATTTTTACAATAAAATTAAAAAGAGAATTGAGTTTTCCCTGTTAGGTCGTTCTTTTATGGCTTTAATTAAGTCTTGTAAGAAAACATAAAATTTTTGATTATTAAAAGGACCTAAAACGTAGCCCCTGCTCATCAACTACGAATACTAATAAAATAATGTTGAGGTGTTCCGTAGTTTAATCGTAGAAACACCAGCCCCAACCCTGGGGTTTCCAGGGTTTGAACCCTTTTTTGGGTACGGTGGAAAACATTGGGGAGTGTTTCCATAAGACCATCCCCTGTCCCTGCCCCCTGTTCACCCTTATTTTAAAAAATGGGTACCTGGGTGTTGGGTTCCAATGGTGTGGGACGCATCCTGGGACAAAACTGCCTAATCTGCCCGAAATGCTCAGTTAACAAGTGACTTTCAAATATGTAGAAAGTCATTGAGGGTCAGCTGGCCCTTTGTATATCATGTACTATACTAGTAGTAAATAAAATATTTTTAAATTATTGTTATTTTTAAATTAAAAAAACAAATTGTCAGAAATTTTCAAAACCCTTCATGAAAAATTTGTTTAAAATCCCTTTTTTGCTCTTGGTTTGTTATTTTACACCCCCGGTGACGGAAAGTCTGATTTTATATCTTACCGGCAGTTTTTCTCTTATGGTTTTTGCCAAAACATTTTAAGAGGATGGAGCAAAATAGGATTACAAAGTGGTTGCAAAAATTCTGGATGAAGAGACGAAAGGTTTTAAAAATTTTGGGGGGAGGGAAGGAGGGGGTGGGGGTAAACCCAAAGGGAAAGGGTTTGGAAAAAGGGGGTTTTGGTAAAGAAGGTTGTGAGCATTACGGGTTTGGGACATAAAAAGGGGCTTGAGCCCTAGAGATGGGGGTACAGTTTTCGGGCACGGGTTAAGGGAGGGGGAAATTTTTCAGTTCAGTAAAACATCTGCACTGTGATTAAAGCACACTTTTAGCAAAAAAAAAATTAAAATGAATGATGGGAAAATGTTTTTTTTCCCTTTTTCAGGTCCCCCATATTTTTGGTCAAAAGAGGGTTGATTTTTTTTAAAAAAAATTTGTCCATTTCAATGCACAAATTATTCCTAAATGTTATCATTTTTAAATTTAATTTTAGTGAAAAAATTTAAAAAGCTTTAATTAAAAAACAAAACATAATGCCCAAGGGAAAAACTTCAAAAAAAATATAATAAAGCTTCTGGAAGTGCTACACGTTCTAAAAATTTTTTTTTTTAAATTTCTGTCTTTTTTTGACTATAAGAACAAATACTGGACCATAAGTTTAAAGGGGGGCCCAAGTAGTTAAAAATTTTTAAAGTTTAAGTAATTTTTAATTTGAGTAAAAATTTACTGAATTTAAAAATTTCACACTTCTTTAAATTTTTTTTTTTTTTTCAAATTTTTTTTCAAATGTATTTGGGTTTCCCCAAAATTTCTGACTAAATTTAAAAAAGCTTTTGGGATATTTTTTTTGACATAAAACTTTATATTTAAAAAACCCTTTGGGCAAAGGTTAATTTTAAAAAAAAAAAATAAAATTTTTTATTTCTTTTTCTAAGGGTTAAAAATGTTAAATTTTCATATAATAGAAATGGAGCAAAGAAAAACCAAATCATGGGCCCAGGCATTTTGAGCAAATTTTAAAGTAATACTTTTGAATACTTAAGTCTAGACAGGGGAAGAGTGGGAGAAATTAAAAAAAAGTCCAATTTTTTTCCCCTATTATTAATATGAGGAAGTTTCAATTTAAAGATATGTGTAATACCAAAGATATGGGTTTAGGTTTTATTTTATTTTGAAATTTGGGAAATGGCAAACAACATTATCCTTCACAAGAATTAACCAAAGGGCTGTGCATAATTTTTAGAACTGTAGAAAATACGTCGAGTATAATTAGGTACAAATTAATTGATGTAAAACCCGCAAGATAAAAAAAAAAAATTTGGTTTTTACTAGGAAAAAAATTTGAGGATTTTGTAGTAGGGGGCCCCTTTTCAGTAAAAACAATTTAAAATTTTTCTTTTAAACACTTTTGATTAATTTGTAAAGGTTTCTTTATTGTTAGATCCAAAAAAAAAAAAAAGCCTTCCTCCTTTAAAACAGGGTTTCGTTCCAAGGGCCAAGCCGTTTAAAAAAAATTCATTGTAAAATGAGGGGCATACAAATTTTTTTGGGGGAGTTTGTGTCAACCATCTTTTTAATTGTTTTAATATCACCTTTGCACCATTTTTAACATTTCTGGTATATTTTTTTAAATGTTTATAAAATTTGTGACTGCATACTGAAATAAACCGAATAGAGGAAATCAGCTTAATATTCATTATTTAAAATAGGAATTCTGGGCAGAGAAAACCCCCAAAAAGTCCAAGGGTCGGTAAACGAGTACGTCGCCAAAGTGAGGGAAGAGACTGTAAAAGAAAACCTGACAAAAAATTGACCATTTTTAAAGTTAATATACATAATATACTTTACCTGGTTTTCATGTTTCCTCTCGGAAAAAAATATTTTTTACGTACGTCGGGGCAGTCAAAACCCTTTTCAGAATAAAAACCCAACGGGCACTGGGCACCAGGCCCCCCTTCTTATTTTTAGGGGGGGAAAATTGGAATAAAAAAGATTCTTAGTTTTGAGTTGGGAAACATACAGGATTTTTTTTTTTTGGAAAACAGTAGCCCCCCCTCCCAAAAAAAAGTAGGGAGGAAACACATTCCCTATCAAATTTAATCAAATGATGTCTTTTCCAGCAACTGACATAAAGAAAAAAAAAATTTGGGAAATTCTTTCCCATGTGGGGAAAACAATTTTTTCATGTATTGATGCAAAATGAAAGGTATAGAAGTAATTTTCAATGTACTGTACTAATGTAAACTAAGGTTAAGTGTTTAGTTTTTTTTTCATTTATAAAAATAAAGAAGCAAAATCAGTGAAAATAAAAATGTTTTTTCCCCTTAGGTACAAAACTGGGAAAAAATAAAAATAAAAATAAAGTTTTCTCTGTATTTGTTTAAAATAAGAAACTTTATACTTTTGGGGTTTTACTGAATTCCACCTATCTCTAATTTGATTTTGCATTTACCCCCTTTTTGCCTTTCATGGAAAGGGAAATTTCAAAAAATTTCTTAGCCCCCTCAAAGGTACTATTAAAAACTGGGGGTTCAAAGTGACTTTAAGCATTTATGCATTGAATCATCAAAAATTCCACTGTCTTAAATCCTATATTTTTTTTCTTTTCCCAAATTAAACCTGGGCCCCCAAACCCCCAAAGGGAGGGGCCTTTAAAAAAAAAAAAAAAGTCTTCTTTTTTTTTAGGGAATGTATCAGGAGAAGGGGGCACTAGCCCCTTTCCCTGGCATTTAGGGGCCCCCCTCTTATGAAAATGCATGGCTTTCAGAAGAAGAATTCTTTTTTCCCCTTCCCCCTGTAGATAAAAGGAAATAAAGAAGAACAAAGGAAAATATTAAAAAATTAAACAAAACCCAGATGGATTTTACTTTTATACACATGGAAAACGCATGGTAGGGGTTTGGGTAAGTGTAAGGGAGAAGTTGCAAGTATTTCCCGGGTTTTCCCCGCATACCTATATATTATTGTAATGTATAAATACAATGTCCCAAATGGGATACCCAGTAAATTTTTCAAAAAAAAATTTTTAGATACAACTATACAAAATTCACTTAATACAAACCTTTTTTTAGAAGTTTTCCCCATAATTTAAATTTTTCTCCTGTTCTCTTTGCTTTATGCCATATCAAAATTTTTCTGGGTTTCTGATACCAACTCCCCGATTTCATTTTACTTCGAAGAGTGTTTGGGAAAAAACTTTAAAGGAAAAAGGGACTGAAACCCCTTTGGGCAGTTCTACCACATCTGAAAAAAAAAATTTAAAAATTATAAACATTATTTTAGCATTTTTTCACTGAAGAGCAAGTGATGGTGAAAAGTGCTTTTCCCCTTGGTTTTCCCGGCCCTTTGAGGAAAAAAGGGCCTATGAGTTTTTGGTTTAAAAAAAAAAAAAAATTAAAATATCACATACTTTGCATTCCAAAAGGGGGGGTGAAGTTTTATGACTTAACCCTTTTAAAGTTGAAGTTTTTTCTTGAAATTTTATGAGACGTGTCTTAAGAAGAGCCCAAAACAACTGGGCCTCAATGGTTTTTTTTGAGAACCTCCCCGAACAGCAAAACCTGGTAGTCCCCCTCCAAGGGATGCCTTTAAATTTTTTAAAACACATGTCGTAAGAGTGTCCCGAAATTGAAAAAAAAAAAAAAAAAAAAGGGAAAAAAAAAAAAAATTAAAGGTGCAGGCAATTTTTTTTTCCCCAAAAAAAGTGCTTACAACCCCTTTTTTTGAACTAAAAGTATGTCAGTCCCTTACAACTGGAACATTGTTTTGAAAAACATTAAAAAAACCCTTTTTTTCAGTTTCTGTTTTGAAAAACCATAAGTAATGAAAAAAATTTAAAACCCTTTTCCCCAAAGATGGTTAAAAAAATCAAACCTTTCAAAAGCAGGTAAAAAACCCCCCCTTTTTTTTACTGTTTAATAACAATATTTGTAAATTTACTGAAAAATAAAGGGGCACTTTCAATTTAGTCCCCAAAAATTTTAAAAGGTTTTTTGTTAACTTGAAGCTGTGAGTGTTTGATCAATCTGTCATGCCATTTAGAAACCTTTTCAAGAGACTTTAAAAAAAAGGAAAAACAAAAAAATCCAAGTTTTGGGAAAAAAAAGTTGATATCATGAATTGAATATATGTTTTAAACCCGTAAATTTTTCAATAACTGAGGCAAACAATTTCAAAAAAAAAATTAAAGTCAAATGCAGTGTAAAATTTTAAATTTAAAAATTTTTCCTCGTAAAATCAAAGTGCCTCCTTTTTAAACTTTTTCCCGATCCCTTTTTTTCCTTTCACTTCTGTTAACCCCCTTGACTCTTTCCCGTAGGGTTTCCCCCCAAGCTGGTTTTTTGTGGCCCCCCAACTGCTTTAATTTTTTATCTCTAACTCCTAAAAAAATGATTAACCCAAAGATTAAAAAGCTTACTCCATTTTTTTAACCTATACTTGAAAATCAAAAAACAAGAAGGGAAAAAGCACCAAAAAAATTTAAAAACAAAGACGTTTTTTTGTTATTTAGCTTAAAGCCCTATACAATTAACATCTGATATTTAATACTCCTTTCAATATTATAGCAGTTTTGGATATACTGTAACTCTAATTTTATATGTTCATATCTTAGTGATTTAGATTAACATTTCTCCAGTAAAGATATACCTAAGCACTAATTTTTTTTAGTTTTGCATACAGCATTCAACCCGTGACTTAAGAAATTTGCCATTTTTTTATGTTCTTCAAATCTCCCTTTTTCATTATTTCTTCAAATCAACATTAACAATTACATACACAAAAGATCGAAACACATGACAGAAAGAAAGAAAACGTACAGTAATTAACTTCAGAAGAAATATCGAAGAACACCACTTGAATAAAATGATAATTTCTCTTAGAAAATATTACACTGTATTATGGAAAACTGAACCTAGTCATTATCTCCTGACATAAAACACAATTTACAATATATGTTATCTATATAGAAGTTAAGTATCAACAATTTTCTACCAAGTGTAATATAAATCAGCTTGTCCTAAGTTGTCACACACCTCCAATCATATTCAAACTTTATTCTAGATTTTAAACTAACAACCACATTTTTGTTTGTTCTTACTTTGCATTATCTACACTCACTATTATTCCATGCTCTGTAATACTGACCCTATGTTTCTAATAATTTTAATTCTGCTCTAAATACTGCACAATTATAATCGATATTGATACCAGGTACTATTATTAAAGTTATTACATTATTATTATTACTGTTAATAATAATAATAATAATAATAATAATAATAATAATATTGTTATTGTTATTACATATTATTACTTTATAAACATTGCATTAGGTTTAGTTCTGCCCAACATATTGTGTACACTCATGGGTTTTTCAAAACAGTACCATGGCCTATTTGTAATTCTTCTGTGATATTGTAATTTTGGAAGGAAATATGTAAATCCTTCATCATTTATGAATTGGGGGTATCAAAGTACAAACCTTGAAAATATGAATATGATGATAAAATGCATACTGTAATACACGAGATTCTACTCTATAATACTGGAACTAAAATTATGCATGGTACTAACTACTCATGCTGTACCTCTAGTATATAAATAATGTAACGTGTAAATTTCCATAGCAAAAGAAAAGACATGAATGAATAGAGAGCAATAACTCTGCTTTTGGGTAAGAAAAAAATTAAACAGGTTACAGTAGATATTTGACAATACGATAGAGTAAAGCCTCGATACAATGGATTAAGGGGGGAAACTGGTGACTGGTAATGTAAGTGTGGTCGATAGAAATTGTTTTATCATTTAATTGACAATTTTGTAAATGTGATAAAACACCTCAATTGCTGGGAAACCTTGAAGTTCCTCAACCTGTACTTGCCAGAATGCAGGCGGGAGAGATACATGATTATAAACAGTTGGAAAATCTTAAGAGGGATTAGTACCAAACTTGCACACGAAAATCACTCCCTATGAAAGCATAAGACTCGGCAGACGATACAACATAACATAAGAACATAAGAAAGGAGGATCACTGCAGCAGGCCTGTTGGCCCATGCTCGGCAGGTCCTTTACAATTCATCCCACTAACGAAACATTTTCCCAACCCAGTCCTCAATGCTACTCAAGAAATAAGCTCTGATAACTCTATCCACTCATTTGCAAGTCCCACTCAAATCCAACCCCTCTCACTCATATATTTATCCAACCTAAATTTGAAACTACCCAATGTCCTAGCCTCAATAACCCAACTAGGTAGACTGTTCCACTCATCAACTACCCTATTTCCAAACCAACACTTTCCTATGTCCTTTCTAAATCTAAACTTATCTAATTTAAATCCATTACTGCAGGTTCTCTCTTGCAGAGATATCCTCAAGACCTTATTTATATCCCCTTTATTTATACCCATCTTCCACTTACACACTTCAATCATGTCTCCCCTCATTCTTCGTCTAACAAGTGAATGTAATTTAAGGGTCTTCAATCTTTCTTCATAAGGAAGATTTCTAATGCTATGTATTAATTTAGTCATTCTATGCTGAATGTTTTCTAACGAGTGTATGTCCATTCTGTAATTTATGTCCATTCTGTAACATCCCCCCAATGAAAAGCAGGGGTGCCCCTAGCATGATAAGAGACAACACAATTAAGTGTCAGGGGCCTAAGACTGTTCAACTGCCTCCCAGCATACATAAGAGGGACTACCAATAGACCCTTGGCTGTCTTCAAGCAGGCACTAAACAGGCGCCCAAAGTCAGAACCTGACCAGCCAGGCTGTGGTTCGTACATCGGGTTGTGTGCAGCCAATAGTAACAGCCTGGTTGATCAGGCCCTGATCCATGAGGCCTCGTCACAGACTGGGCCACGGGGGCATTGCCTCCTGGAACTCTCTCCAGATATCTCTCCAGGTAATGAAATTTGTCTTTTGTTTCTATATCAATTGCATGACTTGCCGCTCATCAGGAAAGGGTATCACTACCACAGTCATCTTCCAAATTAATTAATCATCTGACAAATTAATAAGAAATATGATATTAATTGGTAGTTAAAAACGTACCAATTAATATCTTAGTTCTTATTAATTTTCCTGCAGATTTTATTCCATTTTTCTGAAGAATGTTATAGAGGTCCATTATATCGAGGGTATACTGATTATTAAAATACTGAATTAGGTTACACTTATTTTCAATGTGGTTAATTATTTGGGATGTAAATGAGAAAACAAGATGAATAAATTAAGTGAAAATGTTTTTTTAATGTTCATAAAGAAACTGCCCTATTTCAAGGGAGGCGTCTTGATTCTGGTGAAGGTCTCTTGTTCGATCCACAACTTTTTTGGATCAAACCTGATTGCCTCTCAGTCACCATGTACTGTATGACTCCTGTGGGTTTAGTGCTTTCCTATTAATACGACCACAGAAAATAAGGAACTGTCATGTAACTGATATATTCACTGCACAGGATACTGCATTTTATTGTTAATTATAACACACAGAATACGGTATTCATGGATGAATTTTTATTATTACTGCAATATTAATAAGGGTAGAGAATAAAATGGGATGTATATATGTACTTACTGTATGCCTAGTTATGTAACACAAGTACTACAATGGAACTATCACCATGTCTGACTTGACTGTGTTATCCTAGGTTATTTTATACACAAGTTACTAAAACAATTGTATTGAATCTGAATAAAAATTTACATCTTGTGAGAAAAAATGTGGCAGGGACACGTAATGCCACACACGATACAGAAAACATATCAAAGATAAGTGACAAACCTGCCGGGCCAAGCTCTCGAGTGGCACATGTTTGTGTCTCTTGTTTGTACTAGTGCTGATGTCCTTCAGTCTTTCCTCAGACTCCGTAGCCGTCACTTGCTCTTCCATATTTAGTCTTAAAAACAATAAAGTAATGTATGGTTAATAGTGTATAAACTTAGAGATCTAAGAAATAAGGTGATACAAAATACAGTAACCACAATTTAGTGACAGAAATTTTAGGGACAAAACATTCTACATTTGCAATTTTTGACTGAGGAACTGAAGACTGTACAGTAGTAAACTTTTGATTTAATGGACTTCACAAAGTATAAGACAAAATACACTGGGTCAGTCAATTTTGGATACAACATACAGTCTGTCGGTTACAAAACTGTCCATTTCTGTTACAATCATGGCATAACAATCTCGTCTGTATTCTCCACAATTACCATTACCACCCCCAATTAGTCTGTTAAGTCAAGTTTTACCATATATCAAGCATCAGCTGGAAGAAAAACTAATAAATGATAACTGTTTTTTAGCTTAACATCATATGGCCACATATTAGATTAGATTAGATTTTTTATTTTGACAAATTACATGATTGTACAGAGGCATATAATAGTTGGGTGTACATGCTAAAAGCCCCTCTGTATGCTGAGCATCAGTAAAGACCAGTAAAGAAAAGAATAACCATCTGAATTAATTCTTTGAACATATACTGTATATGTTTGTAGATTGCCATTAACATTATTTTATTGTAATACTGTCCCACATCGACGTCTGTAAGGCTTCTAGTAATAAAATTTTGAATTTAAATTCTGAACGTTAAAAAAGTTTTTCACAATGATGCTCAGTGACATACACTATTTCAGTACTGTACAATCACCATAACTTGCAATATTTATTTATACAGCATATTCTTCAGGATACATGCAGCATACTTACAGATTTCTACTCTTGATGACTACAAGAGGTGTAGTGTGTTGTCACTCTTCTTGTGTTGGTTCAGTGATTGTTGTCACTGTTGGTTCAGTGATTGTTGTCACTGTTGGTTCAGTGATTGTTGCCACTGTTGGTTCAGTGATTGTTGTCACTATTGGTTCAATGATTGTTGTCACTGTTGGTTTAGTGATTGTTGCCACTGTTGGTTCAGTGATTGTTGCCACTGTTGGTTGATTGTTGTCACTGTTGGTTCAGTGATTGTTGCCACTGTTGGTTCAGTGATTGTTGCCACTGTTGGTTCAGTGATTGTTGCCACTGTTGGTTCAGTGATTGTTGTCACTGTTGGTTCAGTGATTGTTGCCACTGTTGGTTCAGTGATTGTTGCCACTGTTGGCTAAGTGATTGTTGCCACTGTTGGCTAAGTGATTGTTGTCACTGTTGGTTCAGTGATTGTTGCCACTGTTGGTTCAGTGATTGTTGTCACTGTTGGTTCAGTGATTGTTGCCACTGTTGGTTCAGTGATTGTTGCCACTGTTGTTTCAGTGATTGTCATTGTTGGTTCAGTGACTGTTGCCACTGTAGGTTGTGATTGTTGCCACTACTGGTTCAGTGATTGTTGTCACTGTTGGTTGTGTTGCCACTGTTGGTTCAGTGATTGTTGCCACTGTTGGTTCAGTGATTGTTACCACTGTTGGTTGTGATTGTTGCCACTGTTGGTTCAGTGATTGTTGCCACTGTTGGTTCAGTGATTGTTGTCACTGTTGGTTCAGTGATTGTTGCCACTGTTGGTTCAGTGATTGTTGCCACTGTTGGTTCAGTGATTGTTTACCTGGAGTTTACCTGGAGAGAGTTCCGGGGGTCAACGCCCCCGCGGCCCGGTCTGTGACCGGGCCAATTGTGGAAAATACTGTATATATTTTCCAGAAATACAGTAGTTATTAAATGTAAATAGATGGCCATACTGTATTTAAAATTTATGTAATCGAAAACGGGAAGCTGCGCCTGCGCAGAAGGGAACTCAGAAGGGACTCGCCATCTTGGTTTTGAATTGGCTACATTAGTGAATGGGAAGAATTTTTCGTGCTCTAGAGGTTAAATTTGTGCTGACACCTCTCAAATAGGAGGCGAAATTGGTGGATATGCATTACTGCATAATTTGAGTATCAGGCGAGTGGACAAGACAGCTCCAGGAACCTCAGATAAGTCTGTTTATGTTTAATTCTGGCCAGTAATTTCATAAATTTAAACAGTGAGGTTTTCTGGGTATAATACACATTAATCTCCAGTCAAATTGGTGAGTGATATTAAGATATATTTTCCTTCTGTTATGTAATTGTGTATATATATAACCATTTATTATTTTTAATATACAGTCCACAAATTTATATATTTACCAGTATTCCTGGTGTATGTATATTTCATTTAATTAATAGGTCCAGAGCAACTTGTGGATATGACAGTTGTAGGAATCGAAGGGGGACATGTTTTGCGACCTAGGTGTCCCAAATTCCTACTTGTCTAACTGATAAATAATAATTATCAATGTTCATTTACTGTTATGTATATAATAATGCATTCAGATAAATGCAATTTTCCACATTTAATTTGCCCGTTGGTCCTTCTTGAACCGGAGGTAATTAGTGAAGTCATTAATTGGTTAATTACTTAATAATTATATGTGAAATGACAGAAGGAGGTGGATGTTAAGTTCACAAATTTACTTAATGTGTAGTGGATTATAATTATTACAATATTAATTTTGATAAGTCAAGTCTGGCTAAGTTTATATTAATTTGTATAATATTAATTTGATAAGACAATTCTGGCCAAGATTTATATCAGTGTATGTGTAATTGATAAGCCAGGTGTTGCTAATTATATTAATGTGTATAATATTAATTTTACTTAATGTGTAGTGGATTATAATTATTACAATATTAATTTGATAAGACAATTCTGGCCAAGATTTATATCAATGTATGTGTAATTGATAAGGCAAGTGTTGCTAATTATATTAATGTATATAATTTTAATTTTGCTATGCCAAATTCTGGCAAGGATTTATATTAATTTGTATAATAATTTTGATAAGCCAAGGCTGGCTAAAGGTTTGTATTAATGTACATTTAAAATTTATATATAAATTTCTTACATGTCTAATTGCTAAGCTTAAGTGTAGCTAACATTAGTAATGTGTATTTAAAATTTATATTACAATTTTTTACATGTAATTGCTAAGCTCAAGTAGCTAGAATTTATTTAAAGGTAAGTTGTACTATTTACCTTTATAAAGTGCATAATTTAGTACATAATCAGTGTTATTAAGTTGAATTTAATACATTACATCATGGCTGAAAATGAGGAAATTAATGTAGAAGGCAAACATATGGAATATAGAGTAAAGAAAGCCTCACTGCAAGCTAGGAAGGGGCATGTAACAAAAGCATACAATAAATGTTTGGAATTAATGAATCAAGAAACTGTGAATACTGATGATTTAAAATTGTATTTAGATGCTTTAGGTAATAGATATGATTCATACAAATTATATTACAACAAATATGAAGGAGATTTGTTAGTAAACTGTGTAGATGAGACTGAAGTAGATCTCATAATTAATCAGTATTATGAATTAGAGGAAAAGATTCTTTCTTGTAAAAGTCAGGCCTTGAATAAATTAAAATGTGTAAACCAAGCAGTTGGTCAGTCTGCTCCAACAAATAATATGTCTTTGCTAAAACTCCCAGAATTGTGTTTGCCTGTGTTTAATCCTGGAGAAAATTGGGAGGAATTTTGGTCAATTTTTAAAGCAGCTGTGCATGACAGGAGTGATCTAGCCTGTGTAACTAAATTATTTTACCTCAAAGGACAGGTAAGAGGAGATGCTTACATATTCATACAAGCCTTTCCCAATGTAGATGACTCTTACAAGGAAGCAGTTGACTTGTTGAAAGTCACTTATGGTAATATAGAACAAAGTAGGTTGGATCTAGTGAATATCATTGTTAATTTAAAATCTCCAGATCACACTTACAAAGGTTTACAGCAGTTTAGAGTTAAACTGGAGAGCACTCTCAAAACTTTAAGTAATAAATATAATCTGAAGGAATCAGACTGGTTATTGAGTGCCATAGTACAGAATAAATTCAGCTGTAAAACACTTGAATGACTCTCGAATAAGTATCACAAGAGTTATTTTGGTCTGGAGGAAATAAGACTAGGTCTACAAGAATTAATTGTGCAGTTGCAGACCAGCCAACTAACTCATTTTAAAGATGCAACACATAATAACTCTGAGGTATCTGTCAAGTTTCACAAAGGGAAAAATTATCCCAATGGTAATAATCAAAATTCATTTCCTAACAAGAGTTGCATAGGTGCATATCAAGTAGCAAGAATCAGAAATAATGATTCTCCACTAGGTAAGAAGAATAAGTACCCTCCTAAGAGTAGCCCAGTTAATAAGAAACCAGTCAGAGAAAAGAGAGATTGTCTTTTCTGCAAGGGTACTCATTTATCTAAGAATTGCAATGCATACAATTCATGAAATGATAAAGTTGAAAGATTGGAGGAACTTGACAGATGTATCAGATGTTTAGGTAATCACAATATAAAGGATTGTTATGCCAAATTAAACTTCTGTTATCAATGTCACAAAGGAAGACACCATATAGTCATGTGTAAAGGTCTATATGATAATGTTGATAATAATGATAATGTTGACAATCCTGACACAACAGTGGCTAATGTAAAAATTGCTGCTAATGTTAATAATGATGGTTTTGCTGAAGTAGCCTTACCTGTGTTACAGGTAAAAATTGATGATAAAAGGCATAAATTAAAAAATGTAACTGCATTATTAGACCAGGGATCCCAGCGTACTTTCATAAAACGTCAATGTCTTGATGGTATGAAAGTACAGATGGGAGATCCCACAACTTTAAAATTATCTGGTTTTCTCTCGGATAAAAGGGCTCAATTGTATGACACTGTTTATGTAACTGTCAGGTTGGGCAATGAGAAAAAACGTGTTAATGCAGCAATTGTAGATAGACTTCCAGAGAAAATATCTACAGTAGGGCTTAGTAAAGCTACAGAAAGACTTTCACATAATGTAAATTTAGCACCTTCTGGGGTAAGTGATGATTCTGTAGGCCCAATAAATATTTTGATAGGTAGTGACTATTATGCCTCCTTTGTAAAGGGTATGGTAAAGAAATGTGGTGTCACCCTTTTGAAGACTGCAGGAGGCCATGTAATGTATGGTAGGATTCCTCGTAATAATAATTCATGACTAGAGGAAACTACAAATACCATAACTGTGTGTCTTACTCATGAAGTCGTGCCCCAGTATAATTCTTTCATAGAGGATAGTGTTGAGCCAGTGCATAAATTGTGGGAATTAGACAGCATTGGAATAAATGTAAATGAAGAAAGTCCAGACGATTCTTTTACTCAGGAGCAATACCTGAAAGATGTAAAATTTGAATCTGGACAATACTGGGTACGACTTCCGTGGAGACTGAACCATCCAGAATTGCCCACTAATTGCAGAATGGCATATGGGCAGTTAAAGGCTCAGCTCCGCGAACTGAGTAAGACACCAGAATTGTTAACTGCCTATAATGATATAATTGCTGAACAATTAATTAATATATTTATAGAAGAGGTACCTCCTGAGCAAGCCAAAATTTATGGTCACTATTTGCCACATCACAGAGTGAAGAAGGATTCTAAGACCACTCTTTTCAGGATTGTGTTTAATTGTAGTGCCAGGAGTAACAAAAATGTACCTAGGTTAAATGACTGTTTGATGACAGGTCCGTCGTTGACGGAAAAATTAGGAGATATCTTATTAAATTTCAGAGTAAAGAATTATGCCTTTACGGCTGACATAAGTAAAGCTTTCCTAAGAGTGGGTTTACAAGAGGCTGACTGGGATTGTACCCGCTTCTTATGGCCTGAGAATCCTAGTGACCCACTTAGCCCTCTGAAAACCTTTCGCTTTAGGAGCGTATTATTTGGTGCTACATCCAGTCCGTTCCTACTTCAAGCGAGGATAAATGCACACCTTAAATGTACGGGAAGTCCATTGAGTAAAGTAATGAGCAAACAATTTTATGTGGACAATTTTCTGGGTGTGACGTCAATGAAGAGGAACTGTTAATGACTTATGGAGAGGCTAATAAAATAATGCAAAGTGCAAATATGCCTCTGAGAGAATGGAATAGTAATTCATCCAAATTGAAGGGCAAAATAAGTAAAGATTACCCTGGAGATGAAGTGCCAAAATGTAGTAATGTATTGGGTTTAAATTGGGATACTGAGAGAGATTTGTTAATGTTAAAACCTAATAATTACAGTATGCCCAATAAATTAACTAAGAGAGTTTTGCTTGCTGAAGTTTCCAAATGTTTTGATCCACTAGGTTTAGTGTCACCCCTTACTATAAGAGGGAAATTATTAATTCAGGAAGCATGGAAACTTAAATGTACTTGGGATGAAATTCTACCTGAGGAATTCATTAACAGGTGGGATGAAATAATTGGTGATTATGAAAAAATTCCAATGTTGGAGTTCCCATGCCAGGTGGCCAATCCAAATGGGAAAAATGTAATAGTGTTATTTGTCTTGTTATGTCTAAGGCTAAAGTGTCTCCAATTAAATCACGTACCTTACCTCAGTTGGAATTAACAGCCATTTATGTAGGTGTCAAATTAGCTAATTATATAATAAATAAGTTGCAGGAGATAAATATTAGCAACACTGTAATTTGGTCTGATAATGAGGTATCCTTACAATGGATTCGTAATGGAAACAGTAAAATTGTGTACGTACAAAACAGAGTCGCTGAAATTAATCAGATGCAAGAGAAGTATAATAGTTTGGGTCAGCATATGATAACATTTAATCATATACCTGGTGAGGAGAATCCAGCTGATTTCTTGTCTCTAGGTTTACCTTATGCTAAATTTGTAAATGCTGTATCATGGTTTAAAGGACCGAGCTGGTTGGTAAATAAAGCTAATTGTCCTGTACAAAAGGCGTATATTGCTCCTGTTGAAATTACTGTGACCACCGCTCCAATAGTTTGTCCTTCCTTAGCCATTGATATAAATAGGTATTCTTCTTTACCCAAACTAATCAATGTAACTAAATTGGTGTTTAAATTTCTAAACAAGATGAATATTTCATATAAGTTTTCACATCCTCTTGAATATTGGATAAAGAGGGTACAGGAGGAAATCTATGGAAATGAGATTAAATTGATGATGGAAAGAAAAATTGTGAAAGGTTCTATAATAGAGAAATTGGGGCTGTATTTAGAGAACAATGTAATTAGGTGCAGAGGTAGGTTACAAAATGCTGAATTGGGTGATTATGCTAAACACCCTATCTTACTGCCCAAAACTCATCATCTAACAAATTTGATTGTTCTAAATGCCCATAAAAATGTAATGCATGGTGGGGTACAAGATACCTTAAATTGTATTAGGGAAACTTTCTGGATTCCACAAGGACGGCAAAGTGTAAAAAGGGTGATTAAATCTTGTGTAATATGTTGCCGTGTGGATGCCAGATCCTATATGTACCCAGGTCCTCCACCATTGCCAAAGGAGCATGTACAATTAGTGAAACCATTTGATGTATCAGGTGTAGACTATAGTGGTCCAATAATTTTAACAGGTACGTCAAATGGTGTTCCACTGAAAGTGTATGTTTGTTTGTTCACCTGTACTGCTACTTGGGCAGTTCATTTAGAAGTGGCACAGGACTTGTCTGCAGAACAGTTTATACAGCTGTTTCGAAAATTTGCAGCTAGGAGATCCTGTCCGAGGTTGATGATTTCGGATAATGCCACAAATTTTGTAGCAGTTGCTCAACACTTGATAGAATTAAATAATAGTAATGCTGTTCAATCTCTGTTAACCCAGCGAGGGTGTACCTGGAAATTTATTACTCCTAGAGCCCCTTGGCAGGGAGGGCTGTACGAAAGACTGATAGGCACAGTGAAGAGGTGTCTCCGCAAAGTACTACACCGGAAGAGAATTAATTTGGAAGAATTCCGTGTAGTGTTAGTGGAGGCAGAAAATCGTATAAATAATAGGCCTCTCTCGTACATGAGTGATACACCTGATGCAGATGTATTAACATCTTCTCACCTAATATGTGGAAGGAAATTGGAAGCTGCCCCTGTCTATAGAGATAATCCGGAAGAAAGTGATGAAGATTACAATGATGCGGCAGTGTTGTGTAATAAATTTAAAATGTTAAATAAAGTAATTGATCATTGGTCTAATGTGTGGCATAAGGAATATCTTCTTACACTACGTGAACACTTTTATGGTGCGACAGAGGCAGTAAATCGACAGACCATTCAACCAGGTGACATTGTGTTAATTGACACTGAACAACATCGAACATTGTGGCCTCTGGGCAAAGTATTGACATTGTACCCAGATGCACAAGGTGTTGTCAGGAATGTCAAAGTGTTGTGTCGTGGCCAGGAAAGTTTACGCACAATTAATAAATTGATTCCCTTGGAATTAGGTGTTCAACGAAACGTAAATGAAAATCTGAGGGAAAGTGACACGAGTGATATGGAAGATAACGCAGACCAAGTGATGCCGGAAGATGAAATCATAGTAAGACCTGCTAGGAGAACAGCCACTCAATCCAGAACTGGCTGGAATCGTCTCCTAAAGGAAGGAGTAATTTGAATCGTTTAGCAACGAACTCCAGCCGGCCGCAGTGTGGAAAATACTGTATATATTTTCCAGAAATACAGTAGTTATTAAATGTAAATAGATGGCCATACTGTATTTAAAATTTATGTAATCGAAAATGGGAAGCTGCGCCTGCGCAGAAGGGGACTCAGAAGGGACTCGCCATCTTGGTTTTGAATTGGGTACAAGGTTAGTGAATGGGAAAAATTTTTCATGCTCTAGAGGTTAAAATTGTGCTGACACCTCTCAAATAGGAGGCGAAATTGGTGGATATGCATTCCTGCAAAATTTGAGTATCAGGCGACTGGACAAGAAAGCTCCAGGAACCTCAGATAAGTCTGTTTATGTTTAATTCTGACCAGTAATTTCATAAATTTAGACAGTGAGGTTTTCTGGGTATAATACACATTAATCTCCAGTCAAATTGGTGAGTGATATTAAGATATATTTTCCTTCTGTTATGTAATTGTGTATATATATAACCATTTATTATTTTTAATATACAGTCCACAAATTTATATATTTACCAGTATTCCTGGTGTATGTATATTTCATTTAATTAATAGGTCCAGAGCAACTTGTGGATATGACAGTTGCAGGAATCGAAGGGGGACATTTTTTGCGACCTAGGTGTCCCAAATTCCTACTTGTCTAACTGATAAATAATAATTATCAATGTTCATTTACTGTTATGTATATAATAATGCATTCAGATAAATGCAATTTTCCACACCAATGTTGGTTCAGTAATGTCTGTACTTACTGTTGGTTAAGTAGTGTCTGCTGTCACGTGGTTCAGTGATATCTGTTGTCACTTTTGGTTGTAGTGTCTGTTATCACTATTGGTTCAGTGATGCCTGTTGAGTTTTTTTTTCCCTCGGAATACAAGCAATTTGCTTAAGAGGTTTTATCTCCTCCTGATGACTACAACTTGTGACAAGAAGTCTGGCAAAGTCAGGTGTCTTAACTCCTGAATAAGTTCTCCCAGACACCACCAACGCCGGTGCTGAAGTTCCTCCCAAAATGTTTGTAATTTTATGAAGGAAAAAATGTAATCAAATTGCCTGTTGTTTTTGTTGTGGGTATTAAAGGCCACTGACATCTTACACTATATCGAGCCCTGTGCTTCTTGGTGTTCGAGAAATTAATATTGCATAAAGTTTGGCGATGAAGTACAGTACAATATAACACAATACATTTCTTTATTTCAAATCACTGCAAATACAAAGCATACAATCATTTGAAGGCCCATAGGATGCACAGCATTTCTGGCAAGGATAGGGAACAGGCGTTCCTTTTACAATTAGATATCCTTTTGGTGGTTAACTTTAACAGTTACCTTAATGGTCCTAATAGAAATACCAAATGAAGCCCTAGGAATTATTTTTTTTTTTAGGAAGGGACTCTACCTGACCTAATTGGAAACTTACTTTTCCCGTTTCTTTTCCCAGAGAAAACTTTGTTTCCTTTTTAATCCCGGCCCAGATTTGGGCAGCATATTTTCCTCGGATTCTGGGGAAAAATTGATTCAGTCCCTGGACCCATTATGTACCTCTAATCTGTAAATACCTTTGTAACTTGTCATGATTGTGACCAGATCTACCTGGAGTTCATTACCTTTGTAACTTGTTCAGCTATGAAAACTTTGGGGCTCAATCCCTGGAACCATTATGTACCTCTGTAATCTTTTGACTACCGCCCACAGGATGGGTATGGGGTACATAATAAACACATTAAACTAACTAACCGGGAAAATTTTACTGCTTAAATCTGGACAGCAAAAGTTTTAATGGCCCTTAAAAACTCCTACAACACCACTGTGGCGGCAAAGGCAAAATTCTCCAGAACTCAGGACTTGAGCGCCGGCTTTGGTGGGGTATGGAGTTTATTTTTTTCTCTTGGTGCTGCCTGAGCTGCTAGTTTATTATGCAGCAGCAGCTCACATTGTGAGTGGTTGCTCAGAAGATCAGGATTACAGAGGGCAGTGGAAATAAGTCACTTTGTCTTGACTTTTTTGGGTTATCCCAGGTTCTCTACACATATGCTGCTGTGTATGATAATGTAACGTGTTTGTGTATACCTGGATAAACTTACTTTGCCAGACCTCACTGGACATTGTTAGTCATTTTACATACAGTTTCTTCATATAACTAATCTATACAATATATTTCCTTCAGAGGAGGCGCCTTAACGCCGGTGAAAGATAAGATTTCGTTCGGATTTTTAACCCCGAAGGGTTAACTACCCAGGACAACTCAAGAGTCAGTGCGTCATCAAGGACTGTCTATCTTATTTCCATTGCGGTCCTCAATCTTGTTCCCAGGATGCGACCCACACCAGTCGACTAACACGCAGGTACCTACTTACTGCTAGGTGAACAGGATAACAGGTGTAAGGAAACGTGTTGAAATGTTTCCACTCGCCAGGAATCGAACCTGGACCCTCCTTGTGTGAAGCGAGAGCTTTGCCAGCCAGGCCACAGGGCCAAGGGCTCTTGGTCCAAAGAATTTGAGCTATCCTCCCTGTTTTATATTAATGGTATACTGACAAGTAGATAAGTAAGACATGCAGCAGTTTAGTGTCTATTGCCAATTTGTTTCACCTGCTCATCAGGCTTCCTCAGTCGAAAGACATAGGTGACTTGAATACGAGAGACAACAGAAGTAGTGGAGAGGTAGTAATGAGGTAGTCAGTCCCTCAGCTTTAAAGAAATAAGTAAGTTTGGGGTAGTCAGTCAGTCAGTCTTGGTAGGTGTTCAGCTCCAGGGCTTTGTATTTCATCTGAAGTCTGCTGAGCAGGTGAAGCATTTTAGCAGTGAAGATGCCAACTGTTTTACTTATGTCTTAGTCATCTACCCTCCCTGTCCTTGCATTGAATATGATGGCTTCAGTTAATAATAATAATATTATTATTATATTTGTGGGGAGTACTCACCTATTTGTGGTTGCAGGGGTCGAGTCATAGCTCCTGGCTGTTTTTTGGATCATACAGCACCTAGTAATGGGAGACATTGAAGTTTGATGTAAAGAAGATGAGAGCAGGTCCTAGGTAATTTATACATATACTGCTATGTATGATAATTTATGTAACTGTATTTATGTGTACCTATACCTGAAATAAACTTACTTAAGAACTCTTCACTGGCTCCGGTGAACCTCCCTTGAGGGGCGTATGATTGCCTCTAGGTGCTGTGTAAGTGACTTACACAGGGGTTACACTGTATAACCCCTATGGGCTTAACTCTTCCCTCATGAAATATATAAGTAAATAAAAGTACTTAAGTTTCTGACATAAATCTCAAGAAAATTCAGAGATCTTATTACTACAAAAAACATTAGACACTATTAGTTTACAAGCTGGTGCAAAATGTGGATACACACTCAAGATTTCTTATACCTTATTATTAACAATGATGTTATTTGCTGTTTTCTGTATTGTTTGTTTGAATGTGTGTATAACTGGTTGGATAATTGTACACTAGCTGTATGACCCTTGTGAGTTCAGAACTTAGTTATTATAATAATAATAATAATTGTACACTAAAATATAATGTGCTCCCATTACTTTGCCTCATCCATGACTCATGGATGCACGTTTTTTCAACCTCAGCTAAAGGACTACTGGGGATATTTTTAACGATAAACTTGTTCTTGTTCTCACATCCTTGGATCACCACAATATGACACTGTCATACTTTACACAATGAGATATAAATTATGTAAGGATGTCTAACAAGCTGTCACCCTGTACTAGTTGCAGGGGCAAAAGTGGGACCTCTATTTAATAAGTATCATTAAGTGTCATTTATGCTGCCATTTATTAATGGAAACCTATGTAATTATTAATAATAATATTATTATATTTAATTATTATTATTCCCATCTCCAGGACTCAGGCGGACTTGAGTCTGGAGATGGGAAGTACAGTGTCTACACTCTGAAGGAGGGGTGTTAATGTTGTAGTTTTATAACTGTAGTGTAAAGCACCCCTCTGGCAAGACAATTCAAATTCAAAGTTTATTCTCTATAAGGATTACAATGCTGAGTTTACAGAAATTTGGTTATTGTGTGGTTTACATGTAGTAAAATTGTGATTACAGAGTGTACACTAGAACGCTTAGCATGGCTAGGCATTTCGGGCAGACTTAGTTTTATTCTTAATTGTAAATATTAACAAATTATGAGGTAAGTTGGTATTATGGCTAAGTGACTAAATACTAGTTTGTGAGTTTAGCAATGTGAATGCTTTTGTTTTGGCACAGTACATAGTTTCAGTATTGGAGTATCACAGGATTCATTATTTTAAGACTGAGATTAATATTCTGTTTATGGTCAAATGAGTGAGTGAGTGTAAGTGTGAACCACCAGGTGGTATTCGTGTAGTTAGTTGACGGGGTGTATCAGGGAGATAAGATGTTTTCTAATGGTAGTTTTGAAGGTGATGAATGTGTCTGCAGTTCTAGAGTTCTCAGGTAGGGGATTCCAGATTTTAGGGCCTTTGACATACATTGAATTTTTGTAAAGGTTTAGTCGGACACGGGGAATGTCGTAGAGATGTTTGTGTCTGGTGTATGCCTGTGGGTTCTGTCACAACTATCAAGAAAGCGTTTTAGGTCAAGGTTGATATTAGAGTTTAAGGCCCTTAGATGTAGATTGCACAGTAGTAAGTGTAGATGTACTGAACAGGGAGTAAGTTTAGGTCTATGAAGAGGGGGGGGTGTGTTGCCAGGGATGGGATTTAGTGATTATTCTTACTGCAGCTTTTTGTTGGGTTATTATTGGCTTTAGGTGTGTTGCTGCAGTTGATCCCCAAGCACAAATAGCATAGGTGAGGTATGGATAAATAAGTGAGTGGTATAGTGTTGAGAAGGGCATTTTGCGGCACGTAGTATCGTATCTTGGAGAGGATCCCAACCGTTTTTGGATACTTTTTTGGTTATATGCTGGATATGGGTGCTGAAATTCAGGTTGTTGTCAAGGTATAAGCCTAGGAATTTGCCCCCATTATTTCTGGTAATTAGAGTGTTGTCAATCTTAATGTTAATTTGTGCATCTCCTGCTCTGCTACCAAACATAATATAGTAGGTTTTGTCAGTGTTAAGCCTAAGTTTATTGGCTGTCATCCAAGTCGATATTTTAATCAGCTCCTCATTCACAATGGTGTTGAGGGTGGCAAGATTAGGGTGAGAGATGACATAGGTCGTGTCATCAGCAAAGAGAATGGGTTTCAGGTGTTGGGATACGTTTGGAAGGTCATTAATGTATATGAGGAAGAGCAGGGGACCAAGGACACTTCCCTGCGGAACTCCAGTATCGAGTGGCCGTGTTGCTGATGCTGTGTCTTTAATGGTGACATACTGATACCTATTAGTAATGTAAGATTTGAAATAAGCAAGCGCATGGCCTCTTATACAGTAATGATCAAGTTTGTGGAGTAGGATGTCGTGGTCTACTGTGTCAAAAGCTTTTCTTAGGTCAATAAAAATTCCTAGTGGATATTCCTTATTTTCCAATGCTGTATAAAGCAGATCTAGCATTTTTATGATTGCATCATTAGTGCTTTTATTTTTCCTGAATCCAAGTTGGCAGGGGTTGAGTATGTTTTGAGCCGTTATAAATGAATACAGTCTCCTGTGCACGAGTTTCTCAAAGATTTTGGATAGCAATGGTAAGTTAGATATTGGTCTATAGTTGTTTAAGTCTGTAGGGTCACCACCTTTATGTATTGGTGTAACCCTTGCCATCTTGAGTAGTTTCGGGAAGGTGCTAGTCTCTAGTGACTTGTTAAAAAGTAATGAAATAGCATGCGAAAGGACATGGGACCGCTCGCTTGTACAGTATGGTGGGACATGAGACAGATTCCCTGAGTTATTTTTAAGTGACTTTATAATCTCAGTGACTTCCGTGGGCTCAGTTGGTGCAAGATAGAAGGAATTAGGGAAATTCCCATCTAGGTAGTCCCGGCATGGGCATTGGTATGTGGGATTTTACTGGCGAGATTAGATCCTATGGTTGAGAAGAAGTCGTTTATCTTGTTAGCTGTGTCAGTGGGATGTAGTGGTGTTTCATTAGGTTTAGTTAGGACAATATTCTTGGTTTTTCTCAGTTTGTGGGTCCCTAGAATCTGAGAGTGTGTTTTTCCAGGTCTTTTTTTATATCTCCTCTAGTGTCTGTGAATCTACTGGAGTAGTATAGTTGTTTGGCTTTCTTTATTACTTTGGTGAGAGCTGATGAATAGTGTTTAAGAATATCTTTGTGTATTAAGCCCTGTCTATATTGCTTTTCGTATTGGTGTTTCTTGTCAATGGATTTCAGAATGGTGCTGGTTAGCCATGGGCGACCAAGCCGTTTGTTTGTGATCTGTTTTGTTTTTATAGGACAATGTTTGTTGTATAGTCTAAGTAATTTGTTAAGAAAAATGTCTGTCCAGTCATCAATACCATTGGCCTTGGAGAATTCTGTAGGCCAATCAATAGTCTCTAGGTCAGCTGTGAACTTCCTTACTGAGGCCTCGTCATGGGGTCTAAATGAGACTTTGTTGTATTCAATATTCAAGTGGTGGTTTACTAATGTTTGTCAGGAGGAAGGTGGGGTTTAGTGGTCTGTAGTGCTATCTGTGATTATCCCTGATTTAAAGGGGGGCTAGTATATTGGTCCATATGTGGTCTATTATGGTTGCACTTGTCTCAGTGAGCCTGGTTGGTTTAGTTATTGTTGGTATGAGAAGTGTGTTGTTCATATTGTTGATGAAATCAGTTACAGGCTGATCATCTAGTAAGCCAAGGTTGATGTTGAAGTCTCCAGCTAAGAGAAGGTGGTGCTTATTCATTTGTCTGTTTGTTATTAGTGACTTTAATTTCTCACTAAAATTTTGGGGATGTTGTGTGAGGTATCCCGGTAAATGGCACCGATTGTTATAGGCGTCTTAAGGTTTTTTACAGTAAAATTAGCAAAAATGTTTTCCCCCATATTCATCACTAAAGCAAGTGGTGCTAAGACAAGATAATTGGTTAGAGTAATAGATTGCAATACCACCCCCAACTTGGTTTGGTCTGCAGTTGTGAATTGCTGTGTATCCTGGTAGAGAGTAGATATCTATTTTGTCCTGCTTAAGCCCGGTCTCAGTAAGAATTAAAAGCAGGAGAAGGGTGTCTTTAGTGATTCAAGGAGTGCTAGGAGGTCATCATAGTGTTTGCTTAAGGACCTGATGTTGTAGTTAAGTACTGATAGACTTTTAGCATTGTTTAGGATAGTGGTGGCTTGTGATGCTGTGTAATAAAGGCAGTTACTTTCCAATAGGTTTTGATTGGGTGTCAGATTATGGAGGTTTAGATCAGGGTCAACGTGATCAAACATCTTCTAGGTTTAAATTATGGTTATTTATATCCTGAGTTGTGTGTTGAGTTCTAGTACTGATATCTGTAGTGGTAGGGAGTTTGGACAAGTATATAGCTAGAGTATTTTGGTCATGTAGGGTATAGTCACTACTACACATAATGAAGTTGATGTTGTCTATGTTTGTGCTGGAATGAACTAAAGTACAACTAGGTATAAACTAGTAATATAAAAATACAAATTAAAAATAGAACAAGACTCTCACTTGTAATTGCACTAAAGGGCTAATATAGTGAATTTGGTATTGACTATGTATTGAGTTAGAATGAGCTATGGTACAACTGAATTTAATCTAATAATGTAAAATTACAAATTAAAAATAGCACCAGTCTCTCACTAGTAATTGCACTGAGGAGTGAATGATGATGAAAGTTTTTCTTTTTTGGGCCACCCTGCCTTGGTGGGAATTGGCCGATGTGTTCATAAAAAAATAAAAATAATTAATATTATTATTATTATTTATTATGCATTAGTTATGCCCTGAATGTTATGCACTATGTTCTCTGCCAAACATAATATTTTGCCTATATCTATAAGAAATGTGTTGCATTATTAATGAACAAAATTGTTTTATTTTAGTAATCAGCATTTGTATTACAGAAATTAAAAAGTACCAATAAATTTGAGCTTTGCCACCTGAAGATTTCCATTCCCTTTCCCTCCCTATGACATTCAGAAGGACTTCATGAAAAATTTATTTTCTACACTGGAGAAGGAACAGCTTGGATATTTGAGAGTCCCACAGGGACAGTAAGTGTCATACTTGAGTTCATTAACTTTTTGGTACGGTACAACATCGATTTTCGGGACACTGATGGTCCAGAACCACAAAATTTATGAGCAGGAACTTGAAATTCCTGCAGTAGTTATTTACCACCAAACTGTACATCACTTATCCAACCCCAAGACCAAGGAAACTGCACTCTCTAAAGGCGGAAAATCAGTAATCCAGAAGGCTTTGGAACCAAAGGTCCGAAAAATCAATATTGTACCTGTATGCCATGCTTGTTTCAGTAAAATTTTGGTATGTTTTGGATTTTTTATTTCAATATTTTACAAATTGTAAATTGAATAAAAACTTAAAAAATGTTGCTAGTGTATATATGTTCATAAACTAGGTCTTTTTTATTCTATTTTTTTCATCATGCAAAGTCTTGCATACTTCTACGTGGAAATTGCAAGGTACCAGCATAAATTTGCAACATATTTTACGTACATTTTTGTTTTTGCTGTTTATAATTTGTTTTTTTCAGGGCAAGTCACTGAGCTTTTGATATGTGGCGCTCTTACCTGGCTGAGAGATCACAATGAGCATTATAAGGTTGTAATTGACATATGTTAAAAACTTTTTTGAAACATTATCCAAAATATTTGTATACATGAATACTGCTACCCGCTACATTATGTAGTTGCAGTTGATTTTTTTTATGATGACTTGTTTTAAGTTTTCTTGTAATAAAGTTAGAAAATTGCCTTAAATTTACAAGGTAAATCTAAATATTTTTAATTCAATGTTTATCTTATTGCTTTTGTTTTTGTGCTTGTGCACCTCATGACAAATTTTCTTGAGATCTGGTTTTCCCAATGCAACCATTGTTAGTTCCTCAACTGCTTATGAAATTGCCTAGTGATGATCTTTCCTGAGACCTGGTTGTTCTCTGTCCAACCAAAATTACCTCCTTGATTGCTTATCTAGTCACCAAATGACAATTTTTTTTGAGACCTGTAAGCTCACAAAGCAACCACAGTTATTTTCTTGACTGCTTCTCCAATCATTACAGTTGTCCAGCTACAAAATATTTATATTAACTCCAGAATTAGGAAGGTGATGCAAAAGATTTTTTGTCTCCGGTACATCAAATCCAAAGAGCATTCTACCCTTATTTATTCAGTCTAACACACTAGCATGTTCCTGCTGGATGTTAAGCCCACATAAGGTCAATTATTTTTTGCATCCTTCCCAAACCCCCTCCCAGAGGGTCTCTACACTTCCTTCTATCAACCCCAAATACTATACTCCTTAACTAATTACCTTCAGTGAACACAATTAACTAACATGTGTTTATTATATTGCTGTGTGTTTGCTTTCTTCTATTTAGTTTTAAGTATTTTTAATACGTAATGACTCACTGATAAAAAATTCAACATTCCTTAAGTATGATGACAGTATTTATGGAATAGTAAAAGCCAAAATAAAAGCTTTGGAAATGGGTGACAGTAACTCAGTAACTAAATTTCTCCTAATATAGTGGAACCTTGGTTTTCGTATGCCCAGTTTTCGTAGGATTCGGTTTTCAACGACTTTTTTCGTCGAAAATTTTGTCTCAGTTTCATACATTTGCTCGGTTTTCGTAGCATTGAAAAGGGTCCGTACCAAACGCGTCCACATGACTCGGCCACTGAAGTGCCCACACAAGCATCCCATGCGTTCGTGACTCAGTCTGCCTTTGTTTCTCATTGAGTGAGCATCTCCCTGCCCATTCATCCAAAACATTTCATAATAATCCATTGTTTTTTGGGCTTGTTTATTGAGAGCGACTGCTAAATAAGACACCATGGGGCCAAAGAAAGCTCTGAGTGCTAGCCCTTTGATAGAGAAGGCAAAAAACACGATAGAATTCAAGAAAGAACTCGTAGCAAAGTACAGAAGTTGCATACAAGTGGCTGATCTCGCCAGGATGTATGGGAAGTCCACATTAATGATCAGTTCCATCCTGGCGAAGAAAAAAGAAATCAAGGAAGCTGATGTTGCAAAAGGGTCAATGTGCTAATAAAAACAGAGATCGCAAACAATCGAATGTTGAGAAGTTATTGTTGGTGTGGATCAACAAAAAACAGTTAGCGGGAGATAGTGTTTTGGAGGCAATAATTTTTGCGAAAAGGCAAGGCAGTTGCATGTGGATCTCACAAAGAAAATGCCTGGAACGAGTGCGCTGTTAGTAAATGTAAGGACACCAGAGGCTGGTTTGACAAATTCAAGAAGTGAACTGGCATACACAATGTATCAAGGCATGACGAGGCTGCAAGTTTGGACAAACGTGGGCCTGAAGAATTCATTGATGAATTCAAGGAGTACGTAGAGGCTGAAGGGAAATTCCTCCCCAAAAAAATCTTCAGTTGTGGTGAAACAGGCCTCTTTTGGAAGAAAATACCCAGAGAAACCTACATCACACAGGAGGAAAAAGGCACTGCCAAGACATAAACCATGAAGGATAGGCTAAACTCTTTTGTTCTGTTGGTAATGCTAGTGAGGATTTCAAAGTGAAGCCTTTGCTGGTGTATCACTCTGAAAATCCCCAAGTGTTCAAGAAAAAAACATCATCAAGAGTAAATTGTGTGTGATGTGGAAGGCTAACAGTAAGGCATGGGTCACCAGGCAGATTTTCATTGAGTGGGTCAATGAAGTGTTTGGCCCGAGTGTGAAGAAATACCTCCTGGAAAATCAGTTGCCACTCAAGTGCCTCCTGATAATGGACAGTGCTCCTGCTCATCCTCCAGACTTGGAAGACCAATTGTTGGAGGAGTTTAGTTTCATCACAGTGAAGTTCCTGCCCCCTAATACCACTCCTCTCATCCAGCCCATGGACCAGCAGGTCATTTCAAACTTCAAAAAACTCTACAACAAAGCACTGTTTCAAAGGTGCTTTGAAGTGACCTCGGACACTGAATTGACCCTAAGAGAGTTCTGGAGGAATCACTTCAGTATCTTCAGTTGCATAAGCCTTATAGATAAGGCTTGGCAGGGAGCGACTTCTAGGACGATGAACTCTGCTTGGAGAAAATTGTGGCCAGAATGTGTCCTCGAGAAGGATTTTGAAGGGTTTGAGGCTGACCATGATGACCCTACACCTATTGTGGAATCTGGTTGTGTCTTTGGAGAAGTCCATGGGGTTGGATGCGAGTGGCCAGGATGTGGAAGAGTTGGTGGACGACCACAGGGAAGAGCTAACCACTGAAGAGCTGCAAGACCTTCAGCTGGAACAACAACAGATCGCAGCTGAGAAAATTGCTTCAGAGGAGGAGGAAGAGAGAAGGGAGAATGTGCCTTCTTCACTGATTAAGGACATCTGTGCAAAGTGGAGTGGGGTTTACAAAGGTTTGTGGAGAAATATCGCCCTAACAAAGCTGTTGCAAGCCGTGCTGCAAAACGTTCAATGACAATGCCTTGTCCTATTTTAGGCAAATCTTAAAGAGATGCCAGAAACAATCTCTCTGGACAGATTTTATATGCAACAGGGGTAACAGTGACTCTCCAGCTGGGGCCTAGTGTCAGTAAAAGACAAAGAAGGGAAGTAAACCCTTCCAAACAATAACCTCTCCTCCTCCCTCTCCCCTCCTCGCCGTCTTCCATACGCCAACAAGAGTCTTCAATAAAGGTAAAGGTTAAATGTTAATTTATCCACTTCATTAGTCATTTATATTTATTTCTCATTGTTTTCTGTATGTAAAACTATAGGTATTCTCTATAAAATGTATTTTTTTTGTTAATATTTTTAGGTGTCTGCAATGGATTAATTGGATTTACATTATTTCTTATGGGAAATATTGATTTGGCTTTCGTCAGACTTTCTAGAACAGATTAATCACGGAAAACCGAGGCTTCACTGTACATTAACCCTTAACTGTCCAAACAGATAGACGTTCAGATCCGTAGTGCTCCAAAAGTAGATCTACGTTTTTTTTACACATTTTCAAATATAACAAAAAAAAAATGTAGATAAAAGTTTTTTTACACATTTTCAAAAGTAAAAAAAAAATAAGATCTACGTTTTTTACATACTTTCAAATGTTAAAAAAAAGTAGATCTACGTTTGGACAGTTTAAGAGTTAAAGCAAGGAATAAGCACTGGCTAATTGTTCATGTACAATATTACTTTCCCTGCTGTTGATTTCATAAGTTTATGAAACTAATTTATTCATTACTGAAAAAATGTAGCTAGAGTAAATGGCAATTGAAATATGTTTGCTGTATTGTACACATTTCTTTTATAGTGTCCATGAGACATCTTTGGTGCAGTGAATTCATGGTGTTTAAATGTGTTATGCTTCACCATTTGTCTAATTAATGCTAGGTCCTTTTTGCTACTTGCATATGATGACTCACCATAATAATGCACTAATCATCAGGCCGAATTAATGAGGAAAGTTAAAGAAAATGAAAATGCAAAAGATGATGATGGTCCTGACTGGTTCAGTGCAGCCACTAAGAGACTGGAAGAAAAGGAGGAGATTAGGAAGTGTCAGCTTGCACTTCAGGAGCTGGAGAAGCAAGAGAAGAAGGTGCAGGCACTTAAAGAACGACGACATGTTATCAAGGTGTGCGCTGGAGAACTGTAACACTGCAGTGTATTTCATATTCTTTAATCATCCACACTGATTCTCCGCTATTACAGTACTGTAAATAATAATAGTTATTTTTTATGAGATTTGTTTTTGAATCCAACCTTTGATAGAACTGGTAAATGCAAAATAGTTATGAATAATAAAAAATGAGGATCTCAAAGAGTTACAGAAGAACAAAAAGGCACAGTACTGTGTATTGAGGATTTACTTGCTTGTGTGATAATAGTGTTTGTTCAGTAATAATCAGATACTCTTTAAAAAAGTATCCAAAACAGTTGGGATCCTCTCCAAGATACTATACTACGTGCCGCAAAATGCCCTTCTCACACTATACCACTCACTTATTTATCCATACCTCACCTATGCTATTTGTGCTTGGGGATCAACTGCAGCAAACACACCTAAAGCCAATTATAACCCAACAAAAAGCTGCAGTAAGAATAATCACTAAATCCCATCCCTGGCAACACATCCCCCCACTCTTCATAGATCTAAACTTACTCCCTGTTCAGTACATCCACACTTACTACTGTGCAATCTACATCTACAGGACCTTAAACTCCAATATCAACCTTGACCTAAAATGCTTTCTTGATAGTTGTGACAGAACCCACAGGCATAACACCAGACACAAACATCTCTACGACATTCCCCATGTCCGACTAAACCTTTACAAAAATTCAATGTATGTCAAAGGCCCTAAAATCTGGAACACCCTACCTGAGAACTCTAGAACTGCAGACACATTAATCACCTTCAAAACTACCATTAGAAAACATCTTATCTCCCTGATAAAACCCATCAACTAACTACACGAATACCACCTGGTGGTTCACACACTCACTCACCATTTGACCATAAACAGAAATATTAATCTGAATCTTAAAATAATGAATCCTATGATACTCCAATACTGAAACTATGTACTGTGCCAAAACAAAAGCATTCACATTGCTAAACTCGCAAAATAGTATTTAGTCACTTAGCCATAATACCAACTTACCTCATAATTTGTAATATTTTAAAATAAAGAATTAAACTAAGTCTGCCTGAAATGCCTAGCCATGCTAGGCGTTCTAGTGGTACACTCTGTAATCATTATTTAACTACATGTAAACCACACAACAACCAAATTCTGTAAATTCAACATTGTAATCTTTATAGAGAATAAACTTTGAATTTTGAATTTTGAAAGTTTGCTGTTAATATTGCATAACACTAGTGTATTTTGTTATCTTTTTTTTTTTCATTAGTCATGTTGATTTCAAGTTCTACATTAGTGATGGGAATACATGCAGTGATTGCATTGTGGGTATTTTTATTTAAATTCCCAGCATTATCTGTTTATATATTTTACCAGAGGTCAAATGTCCCGAAAGTTGATGATGAGTTTGAAGAGTTGTTTCGAGATTTGCACGAAGTACAGGAAAATGTTCGACGAGAATTAAGCTCCATTAGTGGTAAAGATATATTTTTTGTTTAGTTTTTTCCTCATCATCTAATTCTGTATTTACTCTAGTTGTGGTGCTGAAATAATGTACAGCACTTAATATTTTGTGCAAAATAAATTCTTAGCCAATATATATGAAAATTTCTGAAAGTACCAGACATTTGAATATATCCTGCTAGGGATAGGATTTTAATTGGTTTGTTAGATCCCCTCTAGCCAAGGGCAAGGCTGTATATGTTCAGTAACCCATCCAGTTACTAGCCAAACCAAAAAAATGCTTAACTTGCCTTGCCAAGCCTTGCATATATTATCCAGTTGCTATACAAATGGTGCTAGATAACATATTACTATAAAATTCTACCAGAAAATGTGCTCAAATTTTGGGCAGGACTATTTTAATACTGCACTAACAATAAGGTAATATACAGTAGTACTAAAATAGTTCTAGGGGTTAAAGGCATGGTTTATTTAATGCACCGACAGAATACTTATACGTATTTATAAAAAAAAAAAATTTCAGTTTTACTTATAAAAAATTTAATGGGAGATTTTCAGTCAAAGATTCACTCATTCTGGAACAGATCATGATGCCAAAATTTTGCATTTTAACACACCAACTGTGTCCCACCAAGGCAGGGTGACCCAAAAAAGAAGAAATGAAAGTTTTCCTTTTTACATTAGAAATTTTTATGAAGGAGTTACTAGCCCCTTGCTCCTGGCATTTTAGTTGCCTCTTACAACACTTTTGGTTACAGACAGAAGCAGACTGGCCATACGGGCATTTGGACAATGCTCGGTGGCCCATTGGGCTGGGTAAAAAAAAAAAAAGCTGAAAAAATGTCATGAAAACTGAAGTCATGCCAAAAATAAATTTAATTTTTAAGTGGGATTTTATTGTATTTTTTCAAGCATTTTTTCCTTGTTTTTCTCAGATAAGCAACATTAAGAACAATGACTGCCCTGACAGATGACGATGCCTGGGGAGGTTTAACCAGTCGGGTTTTGTTATGGAGGAAGGATTCTTTTTCACTGCCCATGGGTGATAAAATACATCACCTAAATTTTATTTTGACCCTGTGAACGTGCATTTCTAACAATAACTGTTTGTTTTATGATGCAGTAAATTACAATAGTTTTATTTTAGTTGAATTTATATACGTATTTTTATTTTTACAATCACAGGCATGAATAATTTTTTTTAAAATTTTTTTTGGGGTGTGGTTAGATCAATATTGAACTCAAATTGGTCAGCTAACCCTGGACTTTAATTGGAAATGGGAAAAAGGCATTTAACATGATTATTTGAACGAAATTGGTTGATTTAACAGTGATTCTGGATGGATGATGCTTCGAATAATAGAACGTCTGCTTTGTGGTATTGAGTATGAATTTGCGTTTAAAACATTATATCATATAGAAAAATCTAGTAACAAAGTAAAGATTACATTAATGAATTAAGTGATAGTTCACATTCAGCATTTAATGCTGCAAACACTTTAAATGGTATAAACCCAGGTGGAAGAGATGCTATCACCTGAGGAGGCATCTTTGTTACTAGATGACTACTGCAGTGATGATGAGGCACAGAAGAGCAGTAAGGAAAATGAAGAGGAAGATGACAGTGGTTGTTTAAAAGTAAAGTTTGATGCTTTTTTCATGTTCATATGATGCTTTTACATGTTCATAAATGTAGTGTGTGCATATATTTCTTTTATCCATACAGTGTAATTTTTAAGAATAATATATGTCCCTTTATTAGAAAGAGATTAGAGGAGGGGAAAATTAGTATTGTTTAGAGCATTTAGGAACTTGAAAGATATTAACCCATCAAGACGGTATCCTGAAAAAAGAGGAAACACTTTCACCGTCATTCATTCAATCACTGTCTTGCCAGAAGTGTGTTGACATCACAGCTCAGATGACCCTCTGAAACTACAGCATCCTCCTCTGCTTAGAGTGCAGCACCACAGTTTTTCCCCCCTCCAGAACTCCACCTCCAAAATCAAGTCGGCTAACCATTTTTCTGAATC